TAAAAAAAAAAAAAAAAAAAAAAAAAAAAAAAAAAATAATAATACCAAATGTTTAAGGAAAATATTAAATAATCAAGGAGAAAACACAACACGAAACAAACTTCACACAATATAAAGAAAAGTGATAATAAAATATTGGAAAAATATATATAAATTCAAAGAATTAGTGCCAATGCGTACAATTTTCAAGTCTACTATGATTAATAATTAGAGAATTTTTATATGTTAGCCGTATAAAGAAAAAAAAGTAATTTAAGAAAGTAAGTAAAATAGAGTAGAATAGTAAAATAAAAATAGTAAAATAAATTTTAAATAACTTCTATTTAAAAATAGAAAATCAATGTTTCTTGCGAACAGTGAAAATTTTAGAGAATAAAAAATAATTTTTTTGTGTATCTCATTAATATTAATATAATCAAAGAAATAATTCATAAAAACAGAAAACAGACGAAATTTAGATATATCGAATTGCTAAATATTAAAGATAAACTACTAATTTTCTGAATTTAATCCTGGATTTCAAATGTTGAGTCATATACACATTTGTTTAGAGTTTACGATTAATTAATTTAGAAATACAATACGTAGAGGTTGTTAAAAAAAAAAAAAAAAAAAAAAAAAAAAAATGTTGAAAAATGTAGCTATGAATGATCTATCTTTTATAATATTGCAAGACATAGTTAAGTAAAAACAACAACAAAAAGGTGTTTCATAATTAATTTGATAGAAAACATGGTAATAATAATTATATATTAAAAGGTACGAAATATAATTTTATGATTGAAAAACAGTTGAAAAGATGCAGATGCAAATTCATTATGAAAGGAAACTAACGTTAGGTTATTTATTATCTAATCGTGAATATTTTATTAGATAGTGGCATATTTATAACAAATAAATTGATAAATTATAACAGAATAGAGCGTAACTATTCTGTCGTAAGTTTAGTGAAAAATACTTTAGTATAGTAAAAAAGTTTGTTCTCGACCTAAATTTTCAAAAAACTTGTCAACCTTAATGAACGAGAATTCTAAATAAAACATTAAATTAATGATAATTTGATAAATTACATAGATTATATTTGTAGTTTGATTTTCGCTTCAAGCTTTTTCATTAAAATTTTTCATATCATAGAAATCCATGTTTCATTATTGACTAATTAAATAAACTTATTGAAAAAATTCTATTATTCAACGGGGTATCATTAAAATTACAAAAATTTTCTATTTAATAAGACTCGGTATATACTGGAAAGGTATAAAGGACAGAATATAGTCTCCCATTGATGAACTAAAGCAGAATAATTTTGAATTACAATGTAGAATCAAATTGGATATTGGCAATACTTATTTTATTTTGGAATTATAAAATTTCAATAAATTTAACTTCTATTCTTGTATTTCTATATTCGCTTTAGGGTGTCTGTTTATATCAGTAATTGAATTATTAGAAATAAATTTTTAAATACTATTTGATGAATTGATAATTTAGAAATTAAATGATTATTCATTCTATTATTTATTTCATAACTATGAAGAAAATTATATTTATTAAACCGAATATTGCTTATGAATTATTACGTTTCGCTGATTTCTTTTATGTGTAATAATTTGATTTTGACATTTAATTTAACGACTATAATTATCAGGTGTAATACCATAATGTTTACAATTCTCTAAATAGATGTGATGCTATGCAGATGTAGAGCTTGTATATAGTTATATATTAATTATATATTGAAAAATTAATATAAAAGAAATTGGTTTGATTATTTAATGAATATCTATGATACAATGGAGTTACATTTAATAATTTAAAAAAAAAAAAAAAATTGTATATTTTGTAGTTTCAAAGAGTTTTAAATCGTTTTACGCAAATTAAATGATTTTAATATATCAATATCATTGTTATCTGTTAAAGTAAAAGTAAAAATTATTCGATTATTTACATCGTTTATTAATTTGGCGCATTAAGCTTGCTGTTTTATAATATAAAAATGAAATTAATTAATAAATTGTTTGATATTTATTTTATTGTATTTTGTAATTTAATAAAAAATTTTCATAAATATGTATATGAAAACCAAGTTTATCAAATCTTAAAAACAGAAAGCCTATAATCGAACATCAATTATATAATTTCAAGATCTATGATATACCTTGGAAAAAACAATTTTGTTGAATTATTAGAAAGTGCTATTATCATGATATGATCGCAGATAATTTTAATTATCAAGTTGATTGAAAGATCAATGTTATAAGAGCATATTTACAAATTATTCCCACTGTTATTCAAAACATAATTTTACAATACTAGTTGTAATTTAGGAATATCACACAAATTCTTACTCAATTACAATTTACTGAAATTTTTATCTTGTATATGTATTAAATTGTTAAAATGATTCAGATTATTATTAATCGTCATTGACACTTGAGCCATTTTGATGATAATAATTCCCGTGAAAATGCCATATACAATGATTAATTAATAAAATTTGCTGTTAAGTATGTTTTTTTTTTTCTTTTGTTTTAATTTCACAAAATTTAAAAATCATTACAATAATAAATTTCGAGAAAATCTTCACCTATATATTGAAATTATTTAACCATAATTGAAGATTATTTGGAAATTTGAAATCCAATTTTGACGCTATATTTATCATACTTAAATAGAATAACATTTTTGTATCCATTAACTGATCTAAAAAGCTAAAATAAGCAATTCATTTTACTCATTAGTACGGTTTCCATAAATCGAAAGTTGTTTAGTCGCTCGACTATTCGTCTCGAAAATTTTGTTGTTTATTAAATATACAATATTACAAGGAAAATATAATAATATCTTACTCAATGACGCACATAAACTTTAAAATTACAAAGTTCTATTCCATTTTATTTTATTCCTTATATTTTATCTTTATTTATTACCTATTTTATTTTAGAAATTATTTACATTATGTTATTTATTGCTTTTTTTTTTTTATTTTTTACTTTTTCGTCTTATTATCTTGATATTATTTTTATCTCTTTGGCAATTGAGTTGTATGAATGGCATACTGTATATTTACCCTCGATTATTAATTTAATAATTTAAATGAAATTGTTTGAAACTTTGTCATAAGACTATTCTATCAATAATATGTATACATTTTAATAGAATAAATTTTTCAAACCATAATTAAAGAATTTATTATTATTCCAAACATTATTGTAGTATTTCAGCGTCGATTATGTTTCAAAATTGGCTAAAATTGCTTAATATTATAATTTAAAAATTTTTTTTAAATAAATAATATGATTGATAAGTAGGAATTCTTAAAGAATACCAAGTATGAAATGAGCTTTTATTGGAGAAGGACTGTGTGTGCGGGTGGATGGGTGGGTGGGTGGTTGTGTGTATGAGTGCGTGTGAAGTGGGATGGATGGAAGTGTGCAGTTGAGTTCTGAGGGTTAAGAATATTCGTTGACAGAAATTATTACCATTTTGCGTGGGTGACATTGGCGAACACAGAAGGGGTAAGTTCGTTGGGCGTGGCGTAGCTAAGGGATGTGGGCGGATCTTCATCCCTTAAGTTTGTGAAGCGCCACGCCATATATATAATTCTGTAAACAAGTACGTAATGGAAGTCTTGGGTTGCGAAAGATTTTAGGGAAAATTGATAATTATGTGTATGACCCAATTCGCTGTTTTTATTACTTAATTGACGATGTATGATTAATTAGTCGGATATATTTATGAATATTTAATATTTTTGTAGTGAATTTTGTAGTATTTTGAAGGTGCGAATTCTAAAAAGATAATAAAATTTATATTTGTAGTAATAGAGATATTTGTATAAAAGTATGCGAATACGTGTCGCTAATAACAAATGTTCTTCAGCAATTAATACACCAGTAAAAGTAAAAAATACGAAAAAAAAATTTGATATTGACACAAAATTTATAATAGCCAGTCTATCTAACTAACTTAAAAAAAATTAATATTTTTATATTCATAAAATGATAATGGTAATTTACAGCATTTAAACATCCCGTCAGTTTATTTGAAAGTCGATTTACGACAGTCGATTAAATTTCCATGTAATGATCGAGTATTTTTAATTCCAAATATCTCAGACTTTGGTAAAAGTACAATTCTCTGTTCTTTAAACCACAGTTCATTCTCTCTCTGTCTGTCTGTCTCTCTCTCTCTCTCTCTCTCTCTCTTTAAACCACAGTTCATTCTCTCTCTGTCTGTCTGTCTCTCTCTCTCTCTCTCTCTCTCTCTCTCTCTGTTTATCGATCTATCTCTCAATGAATAAATGCAACGATATTGAGAATGTAGTGTTAATTTCTTAATTAAATTATTTATTAATTAAATATAAGTTACTTGTAGTTTTTTATCTTATAGATCTAGGGATATTTTTTTATTGCTTTTCTTCTTCTCTCTCTCTCTCTCTCTCTCTCTCTCTCTCTCGCTCTCGGCTAATTGAGAGATCGCGTAAGAAATTTTGGCACCGGTGCTTAAATTTAAATCATATTTTAAAGTTCTTTTACAGAAATTAAATAATAAATAATTGTATTTATAATTAAACTATTTCTTATTATATAATCATTGAATTTGAATTGTCGCTTGCTTCCCGCTTTTTATTTCAGAGTGTGCGCAGTGTGCGTAGTGTCCGACCTGCTGCTATCAAAATGATAATTTTTTTTCAATTTTATCTTATTAATATTTTCCACTTTCGATGAAAATTTAACTAGAAATAGGAAAGAACAGGTTATTTAGCCGCCATTGCCAAAATATACATTTCTTTCGTTAACTTTATTAACGCCGTTTATTAATGTTTGGCGTTGCAGTGCTGGGTGGGGGAGAGACGAGGAGAGTCGCCGTTTGCTTTGGGTGAGCCAAAGAAAAATTATTAGAAACTGCAGGATTACGGGCTAAATCGCGTGAAGGCGATTATCAATACTTTCTCTCCTCTAATTGCCATCCTGATTTATGTTGTTATAACTATTTGCTTTGTCAACTGTTTTCTGGTGTAAGCTATTATTTAATATTTACACAAGAAGGGAGCATCGTCAGGACAAGAGTGTGGTAATGTTGTCTACCACTACCTTACATCAACGAATTTTTATATTAATCGACTCCAGGCGTATTTGAGTAAAATTAATAGTAATTGGTGATATCTGATCCACGACATAGACATCGTAAGCGGGACGCATGCGATGATTCCGTGGACGAGAATCGAGGACGACGTCCACTTGTTATGCGTCTGTCACGTTCGTGCAAACTACTGATAAAACTTGCAATTGTCATCGGTATCTTCGTCCTCGCGATTTACTGTCTCCATTCGCCGAATGTCTTCGCCGAGGTGTCATCGTTGTTTCTCGATGCTCAAAATATTAGTGGAAAATCAAATGCTACGACCACCTTAAGCAAGGATCTAGTTAGCTCGAAGCAGCAGTTTTTATCATCGAATAAATCCAATTCCATTGATAATGGAACGACAGCGCAGCTGTACAATGTTTGGTGTATTTTTACAAAGGTGACGAGCAATTCTCCAATGCGCAGAAAGTTTCGCATATTTGTACATTCGCTACTGAGTCATTCGTCCATTGGTATTCATTTCCATATTGTAACCGATGACGAAAGTCAAATTATTGCTGAAAAAGTCATTGATTATGTCTTTCTAATAAGTAGAAAGACCATGAAGGTAATTTAATTTAAATGTTTAATCAAATTTATATCTTTTATAAATATTGAACGTACTATCGTGTTTGCACATTTAGTCGATACATGTGACGAAAAATCAGCATCGCTTGATCGACTCTTTAACGAGAGCCTAGACAAAAATTAAATTCCTAGCTAGAGAATGACTTATTAAGTTAATTATATCTCATTGAAATTTCTGTTATACCCGATTTCAGCTCATTAGTCTATGATTCTACATTTTCAGGTGCAATATTATAATATCCATAAATCAGCAGCTGAAATAGAGGACATTGTATTAGTGATGTCGCCACACTTCAGTAGTAAACCAGGAACGTACTACTCGGATGCCTTATTTTTTCTCTCTCTTGGCTTATATAGAATAGCCTCTACAGATCAAGATTTAGCTGTGATAGTTGATGCCGATACAAAGTTTAAAATAGATATCAAGGAATTGTTCAAAGAGTTTGATAGCTTTGGAAAGGAAGCTTTATTCGGGCTTGGCCCAGAGTTAACTCCCGTATACAGACATGTATTATACATATATAGGAGTAAAAATCCTAAAACTAAGTTCGGAGAGCCGGGTTATCTTGGTGGATATCCAGGGTATAATAGTGGAGTGGTACTCCTCAATTTGAAAAGACTCAGGGAGTCTTTGGAATATGACCAGATAGTTAGCCAAGATAGCGTGGAGCATATGGTAGACAAGTATAATTTTAAGGTAATATTAATTTATAATTAAAATTCAACCGGTTCATTTGTCCTTTCTTATACGACTATTCTCATAGAATTACAATTTACGCGAAACTGAATAAATCATTTCATAAATCATTCAATCGTCATACAATAAATCATTTTCATCGGTATTATTATTTAATTGAAATAAAAGCAAGGGTATTATTGTATTTTTTGTTTTTCTAATATATTAGGGACATCTTGGAGATCAAGATTTTTATACATTATTGGGAATGGAAAGGCCAGAATTGATTCATACAATCGATTGCGGTTGGAATCGTCAATTGTGTACATGGTGGAGAGATCGGGGTTACGCTGATGTTTTTGCTAATTATTCGCATTGCCATTCGGAAACAAAGTTGTGGCATGGCAATTGCAATACACCAATCCCAGAGGATTGAGAAACAACTAGAATTAATTTAGATACTTTCTTAACCTTTTAAGGTTGGTCGGTATAAATGATTTTCTATACCTATCCAATTAAAAGCAAGTCGCATATGTTAGTTATAAAAAAAGAAAAAATTCAGAACATCCTTAATAATAGACTGGCGTAAGAGTGTCATTGAATAGAAAGGCATTTATATCTACGGTTTAGTATCGAATTTTTAAAAGATTGTGATAAATTTATTGTATCGAGTGTTTCGCTTATGAGAAGCAAGAAACTGCGTGTTTACATAAAATTCAAATTATAAAAACATAAGATTATATTTAACAAAGAATATTTTGATTTTTATCTTTGACAAAGATCTTATTTTAATTATTAATTAGTTATCAATGAATTATTTTACGTTTATGTACAAATTTTAAAGAACACGCGCGCGCACACGCACGCACGCTCCAATAAAATAATAATAGTTAAGGAAATGAATATTAAAACTTAAATTTTTATTAGCAAAAAAATTTTTATTATGAAAAGTTCTAATTTGTTAATCATGGTATCATGATATCATTAAGTAAAATGGGAGTTAGCTTATATTAAGGTTTATATTGTTATTACTTATAATGCTATAGCTTTTAGATATTGTCATTTTCAATTTTACATTTTATAGTATAAAATTGATGTTTTTAATCAGAAAGAAAAAAAAAAACAAAAACAATAGAAAGTCAATATGAAGTCGATACGTCCATAATTTGTCAGTAGTGCCAATACTATGAAGTTTTATCAATTAAACGATGCGTTATTCCTTTTTCCGATATATACATAATAATGATTATAATACTGCAAAACTTTTTATTTTCATAAGGGCATAGAAAAAAGAATATCCTTCACGATCTAAGTGAATGATTATCTTACGCAATACTTATTGAACGATATTAGAAAGAAATATTAGCAAATCACGAATGGGAGCTCGTAAATAAAATGTGTTGGGAATTTTCCAAGTTTTTCTTAGGATAAACTGTATATTTATGTGAAAACTGATTATTTCCGGTTTTTGAAAATGCTCGAATTGCTTAAAAAAAAAAAAAAAAAATTCCTTCGATACATTTCTCAATGTGTAGATAAAATTATGGATTAAATCATGCGAGATTGGAAAATAAATAACTTAAGCTTTGTCAATTGTTTGCGAGTTCTTATATTGAATTGTTAGTAATTGTTAGTTGGACATTTCTTTTATCTGTACCGATTATCATTAATTTTCGGTAATTGCAATAATAAACCATTGAATATTGTAATTATATTAATGTCGTTAAAAAGAAAGAAACAATCGATTTAACGTCGTTCTATGTATTATCTATAATATCCGGTATTAAAATTTAGAATTCTTTTTAAGTTTAAAAAATTAAATGAATTCTAAAATATCCTGTAGTAGTTTAAATAATTATTAAAAAATTCGATTAAATTCAAAATTTGATTGAGGTAATTCATGTAATCAAGTATATTACTCTTTCGTCTACATTCGTTTATAAAAAGCAATATTCGATTAAGTTCAAAGTATTCGAGTTATTATCAATTAATAGTTGGTGAGTATTAAAAAAAAAAAAATATATATATATATATAAATAAAAATAAATAAATAAGAAAAAGTAAGGGCTTGTATTTTAAATACATTAGTGGTAAACGTGCAAGAACATAATTTAATAATAATAAAAGCTATCGTCTAAATAATTTAGATAATTATAGAATTTTTCAATTAGATGTAATTGAACGGCTGTTTATCCGAACAATAACATGTTGTAAAAAAAAAAAAAAAAAAAAGAAAAACGAAAAAAAAAGAAAAAAAAAAGCTTGATTATTTTGTTGTATTTGGTCGTTGAACGATCGAAATCTCGTGTCCTGAGCATAAAATTTATGGGATAAATAGTCCCTCGGCGTAAATCTAAATCTAATCCTGGAAAAGCCTTATACTGGATTCACTTTTCTTCGATTTGTAAACGATGGTGTAATGAGCGTAACATTGGATTAATCCTATGGCAATACAGTTTTAGGTGGTGCAATTGAAACAGGGTCTAAGGTAATTGTTGCAGATGTAGAATTGGATAAAGCAGGATATAATTTTCTTTTTTATTTCAATAATCGAAAGTGTCCAACTGTTGGTTTAATAAAATGGAAAATTATAAAACGTATCCTAACTCTAGATATAATAAGACTTTAATGGATAAAACAATTGCGACTAATTGTCAAACTAATATGTCAAGTTTGCGCTTAATGTAAACATAAATGTTGTTTACATTTGCATAGTTTGTAAATTAGCGAAGTGTTAAATAGACTAAAATTATTTACACAAATGGATTTATATTATTCAACATAAAGGACGAAATGCAATCTACGTTTTGTTATTGTAATTTAAATATACTGAATTTGATTAAAATCACAAATTTTGTTGATTAAGGATTATAAAGCATCAGACTACCTATTAATATTCCAAATATAGAGTCCCGAGAGAGAAGTCTAATTTTTATTTATAAAAATCTAATATGTATCCTATACAAAATACTAAATACTCAGATTTTATGAGAGAGTATTGTAAATTAATATTTATTTGGCTTGGTGGGCCATTCGTGCCTTTCCTGCCTTTCCTGCAACAAATTTCAATTTCAAGGCTGCTAAAGCGGAAAATTTTCCTCCAAATGCTGGGAAACGAGGTTCCATATTATTGTAGAGACTGTGATTTTAAATGTAATATCTTCTCTGTATCTTCAATTAATGTTTATGTTAATGGAAATTATATTAGAGAAGGATGTTAATAGAGTTTTGTATGAATCATTGTCGTACGTTTATCAACATATTGTTTGTTTTTTTAAAAAATTTGTAAGAAATGTAACGTTGGTTGCCGCCGCTTCAGTTGGTAATACAACTTTTTCTTCTTCATAACATTTATTTACAAATCATTAAGTGCGTCAGCCCTCACACGCATACACACGCACGAAAGAGAAACGTGAAAGAAAAATCACTTTTTAATTTTCAACTAACTTTAATGAAATTATAAGTTATAATAATATAATAACGCATATATAAATAGCTTACAGTTTTGCCATATTTTCCAATAAATTGTATTACGAGGAGACAATAATTAAATTACAATATTGACAGTAATGTGCTATTTACAAAATAGCTAACTCGAATTTTTGAAAATTTCATTTTCAATGCCTTTTAAACATGGCCTTAAACTTAACGGAATTAACTTTACAAAACATTAATCTTAAAAATATCCTCTCCTGACTTGGCGCATCATACGCGGAAGATATAATAGCCATTCGTTGAAATAATTTGACAAACAATTTTCCAAAGTAAAAACAAAAACAAAATTTACTAATTAGAATGAGCGATAAATATTATTTCGAAAATTATGACAGTTGTATGAATGTCAATCGTTTAAAGTAAAGAAAAAACTGCTTTTCACCTTGAATTATACTCCAAATTGTACTTCTTCAATTTATCGATATTTTATATGCGAATAATGTAATTTCTAAGGTAGCTGACGATCTTGGCTTCTTTTTCCTTTCTTCTCTCTCTCTCTCTCTCTCTCTTCTTCTCTTTTCTCTTCTCTTTTTTCTTCTTTTTTTCGTCTTTTTTTCTTTTTTCACTTGATATTACATTAATATACGTTGATTATTAATTCGTTGTACAATGTATTAAAATAAGATGAGTGTTACCTTTGGTCCCGTTGATAGAATCTTACAGTTTAGAATCATTGATTAGAACAATTGTTAGTAGTACAACGTTATATTATATAAAAGTAAGTATTGTCGATAAAGCGACATGACTATTAATGTGAAAAATTCGAATAATTGTCGATATTTTGTGGTTTTTCATAACACTTTACAAAACGAAAGAAAAAAAGAGTTTTTTTTGGGGGGGGGGGCGTCATAATTGACTGATACGAGTTTCACTCGCAATAAGAAAATATATATACAGCTTTCGACAATTACCTGGGGGAGGAAAAAAAAGCAAAAGCAAAAATTCAAGTTAATTTCACATTTTTATATCTTGATCAAGGATAAATCTTATGTATAACTAGCAAACATATATATCGAGCACCAAAATGTTTCCTTTTATTTAAACATTTATAACGAAAAACATATCCTTCTCCCTTCCCTCCCTCCATCCCTCCCTTCCCGAGAAGCGAAAAACCATTAATACTAATATTTACATAAAGTAATATCAGACGTTTGAGAGCTGCGATTGGCGAAATATGTCGTATATTTTTACATTTTTTCAAAAAGTAACTTACGAAAAGAAGTGCTTAACGTTAATAAATAACAATACATAATAATAACAATAATAATAATAATAATAATAATAATAATAATAATAATAATAATAGTAGTAGTAGTAGCAGTAGTAGTAGTAGTAGTAGCAGTAGCAGCAGTAGTAATAATAATAATAATAATAATAGTAGTAGTAGTAGTAGTAATAATAATAATAATAATAATAATAATAATATAAAGAAGAAGAAGAAAGATTAATTATTTCATTAATTAAACACAGTTTCAAACGTCTTAATTCACGAACAATTTAAACGTACAATTTAAATTAACATGATTCTACATCTAACATTATGACTGACTGCCAACAAGCATTTTGTTTTCTAGACTTTCTTGCAACGTCTCGTTTTCACTTCAGGCTTTGCTCAACGTTCAACTAATGCTTTACCGCGGAAGAAATAGTTTCTTATCTTGTAGCTTGTCAACGCTTAATATCTTTCAGCAGCCTGCAATTTAAAAAGACCAAGCATTATTTTATTGAACACTCTCGATTGTCGCAATTGTTATAACAATGTTTTAATCGCGGCGTTCCTCTAAACAAGGAGAAGGGGTAGGAAAAACTATTTTTCCTTATCAAATTCACTTCTTATTGATTATACGCATTTCCTCGCACGGCTTAAGCGCCGTGTATTATGCAAGAAGCGAAGAGCAAATAAATAACGATAGGCTACGAAAGCGCGATCGAGCCATCTGACGAATTCAATGACCAACGGTTGGCAATAAATTATTTCCATTCTTATGTTACTAGTAACGTTGTCAATAAAGTCGCCGGCGCAAAAAAAAAAAAAAAAAAAAAAAAAAAAAAAAAAAAAAAAAAAAAAAAATAAAGAAGAAAAAAAAAGAGCGAAAAAAAATGCCGGATTGATGCGTTTGACGCGCGATACTAGACAAAGAGATTTGGAGGATCGGTAGTTGCGAGGCGCACGTTAAGTCGTGAGCCGGGATTTCCGGGAGCTCGAGGCACCTCAACAATCCGACAGGTAACGTCGTCGACTCACGCTCTTCAATTTCACCCGTCCGCCAAAGTTCCTGATCGACTCCAGCAGCTGATCCCTGGGATCCAACTGGACGGTCGGTGTTGGTTTCGGCTTGGGCCTCGCGCTCACGCTCTTGAGGGTCACGCCCGTGATTATCGGCATCGTCGGTGGCTTCGGCACTCCCTGGCCACCGCCGTTCATCTCCTTAACGAGCCTCGACTCCTGCTGTTGGCTCGTATCCGAGCCGCTGTTGGCTGGGGGCGGCGCGCCGTGGCCGTTGCTCGCGATGCCGACGACGGAGGTGTAGCGCTTGGTGGGAGCCGCGAGCCCGTTCGTCCGGGACTCGCCGTTAAGCTCCGACTTGGTCCTCTCCAGGTACTCCGAGTGACGCTGACGCGGCTTTTGCGCGCAAACCGGAGCCTTGGCTCGGGCTCGCACCTCCACTTGGCCGAAAGCCTTCGTCAGCTCGCGGAAGTTCACCTGCCGTACAAAAGATCCAAGGTTACCATTTAACTTTGCGCCCGACTTAAGTTTAAGTAAGCTTATGTTGTGCAATGCGCGAGTCCGTTTGTGACAGTAAGTTGGCAAATTTACGCTTTCTAGAACAATTTCGCAATGCTAATTGAATGTCAATCCTCAATCTTAAGAATAATACATTTTTACTATTTTTGCCAAGATAATTGATCCAATCCAATAATGATCAATAGTGTAATAACATCACTTGTTATTAAACAAAAATAATAATACAAATGAACAAAAAATCCAGTGTCGATCGAACTTGCCCCAGTATTTTCTCATATTCCCGTACCTGTTTTATGATTGATATTAACTCGATCTCTCCAGGTTTTTTTTCCCCCCTAGTATTGCCCGGTATTCCTTAATTCCCTAGTACTTGAATGTACACGAAAATACTACAGCTACGAAGAATATGTAATTTTATTATAAAAGACAGGGAAACGATACGATTCCAGATGAGAGATCCTTGTCAAAGAACAAAAAAAAAAAAAAAAAGAGAGAGAGAGAGAGAAATGGCAAAGCATTGTGGCCGAATCTTTGCGTATTTGTTGGATATTCGAATTCCCGTAATCGGGCTTGGCGATCTCTATACACTGTCATAGTTCTTGATTTTGTCATCTCAAATCAAAGTCACAGGAGCAAGAATAAACGGCCCTAGGTTATTGACTGCTTGAAAGATAAGGAAGCTAATAGAGATAAGCGGAGGTGAAACGAGCTCGTACTAACCGAACTCGTGTCGACGCGCGACTCGGCTACATTGTCGGCTTCCTTGGCGCACGCAGGCTCCTTCCTCAAACTAGCCTCAGCATTGAGGCTGACGACGGTTCTGGGTCCCGAAGCGCTACTGGAACCACTGCCTCCACTGCTTCCACTGCCTCCACCACCTCCAGCACCTCCTCCTCCTCCTCCACCACCGCTGCTGCCGCCGCCGCCACCACCACCACCTCCGAGCTTGTAGTCCGTGTCGTTTTTGATCTGCACGTTGACGCAGGCGCGCTCGGACCAGCTGCCGAGGCTCACCGATGGCGGCCCGCAGTACGTGTAACGCTTGCCGACCTCGACGTTGCGTCGATTATCCCGCAGCTGAGCTTCGGACCGCGTGGCTGACTCCCGAGGCTCTTGCCTGTGGAATTTTTCAGGTACGCGTTACGCGTGGATTTAGTCGTTGGATAGTTGGTCCAGCGATGACCTCCATCCATTGGCTTTATTGCTTTCGATGCCACCCCCCCCCCCCCCCGAAATTCACCACCTCATTCACATGTCTATTTGGTGTGGAAATTCACCACATCATTCACATGTCTATTTGGTGTGGATGGTTTCTTTATTTGTTTTTTTTTTTTTTAATTTTGTTTCCGTTAATCATTTCGCACCACAACATCGAATGAAGATAATTAATTGTCAAGCAAACTCTATCGACAATCGATATGTAAATAAAGTAAAAGTGGCCTCTTTAGCGAATCGATCGTCGTAATTAAGAACTTAAATTTTATATCTTCGATTTTATTTGAATATTCGTGTTTTAGTTCGAAAATAAGCTTGAGATACTTAATAGACATACTAGACATGATTAACGAACATCCATGTAATAAAAGTGGCAAATCTTACCATTTTTTTGTTGAAAAATTATCACTGGTATTTCTGTAGCCATTTTCTTCGGTCGCTTGAGCATTTTTCAATTGCGGTAAAATGCTCTTCAGTACCTAAAAGAAAGATTTATCCTTAGATTGAAATTTAAAAAAAAGAAACTAAAAGAAAAAAAATCAAGCTCATGGATATTTGTTTTTTTTTTCTTTTCTTTTAAATAATAAACAAAAAACGAAAAAGAAACAAAAAAAAAAACAAAAAAAAAATAGTCTGGACATGAACGTTCTTTGACTTTATTTGTAATATCGATAATTGCTCGTGGTTTGGTTGAATTTGTGCTCAAGAGCATTGTAATAAGCTGCTGGGCGATGATGGGGAACGATTGTTGCGAGTGACGATGGACGATCGGGCATAGAGAGTCACCAAGTCTTATCGCGGATAAAAGACTCGGTTATAAAAGTCCATTGATAAGTGCAAGGATTACGCTGGTCGAGATTAGGAATAAAGAAAGCGCGCATCGCAATGAAAAAGAGGCGCGTGAAAATGTTTTGGCTCATACAACAGCCCATCGATTGCCATTTTACTGGACAATTATCTACGGATATAAATAATCGTGCCTCGATCACACAACGACACTCGAACGATAAGATAATAAAGGTCTGGCAACCTACCTGTAAGGATTGAAGCTGCTTTTCCTTCGTGGGCTCCTCCTGCTTTCTCAAGATATTCTCCCTCCATTGAGAGAATTTCTCCTTATGCCTGGGTATCTCGTCGGTCGAGCTCACGTTCACATTAGCCAAACTCGTGAATTTCTTAGCTGATTTATTATTCTCGAGCTGCGGGCGCTCGGCCACTTTTATTTCATCCCTCGACTTTTCGATCTCGTTGGCTCTGTTAAAAAATTTCTCGCTGCTCGACAAAATAATATAGCTCTTGGATCGATGCACCGTCGGCTTCTCCCTTGGTATCTCGTTTCTCTCGGCTAAATCAGAAATTCACGACAAATTAGCTTGACAAGCTCATCCTCCATTCCCGGAGTATCCGTATTTTGATTTAATCGGTGAAATTCGCCTCGAGTCTCGGTAAGTAATGCCCCAGCCGATCGGCGTTGCCTCGTGAGGATAGATGTACAGAGAGAGAGAGAGAGAGAGAGAGAGAGAGAGAGACAGACAGAGAGAGAGAAAGACAACATTACTTACCAAACTTGGCTCGCTCATCGACTAGTGGCACGGACATCCTCTCCATGCTTTGTGCGGCCTTTAGTGTACCGTTCATGGCGAATTTCTCCTCGGCGGCGAAATCCGCGGCGGTGCTCCTGCCTCTCGTGAGCGTCGCGAACCCGTTCATCACCCGATTATGTTGTTGTTGTTGTTGTTGTTGTTGTTGTTGTTGTTGTTGCTGTCGTTGTTGTTTCTGCTGTTGCTGTTGTTGTTGTTGATGCTGTTGCTGCTGCTGCTGCTGCTGTTGCTGATCGGGCGGGTCGAAGATGTCGAGGCACTTTTGGCGCGAGTAGGTCGTTATGGTGAAATTGGCGAGGTTGTTCTCCACGGGCGCGATCTTGGGCGCGTAGGACTCGTCCCGTGGGACTGGCTCGACGATCGGCCGGTTGCTCTGGATCCTCGTCTCGAGCTCGGATATCACCTCGGCCTGCTTCTGCTCGGTCGACTCCAGAGAAGTTTGGCTGCTCGGGCTCGGTCGACTCGGCCTCGCCTGGCCAAAGTCCACGGCGTCGCGGCTCGTCGAGTCGATCGTCGGCGACTGCTGCCGCGCAATCGGATCCCCGGGCTTCTTCGCCTCCGCGCTATTGGCCACGTGGACCGTCTCCCTCGCCGTTGACTCCTTCTTCACCGGTTGCTCTCTCCCACCTAAGCGAACAATCCTCATCTTGTATCTCCAAAATTGACAGCGTTGTCGCGCAAACATAAACTGTCGCCCCGTAAAATTCCATTCGCGTCGTACGTGTTCGGTGCTTGCGTCTAGCGACGATCCGGACTGTCTCGGACCCAATCCCAACTCCGTTTTATCGTGGCTCATAGAGCAAATTTTTGGGAATCGCGGCCAAACGCCCGACAGGCAGTTTTTCATTAGCAGTCGTTTCGAGTTTCCGAAGATTACGATTGTTTCGAATTGATCGGCGTTGTTTTATAATAAGACTCGTCATCGCGGCCCTCCGTCCACTCGTCTCGTACGCGACAATCCGTCGAAGAGAGGATGAGAGAATGTATAAGCGCCGGGCCCGCATACTCACCGGGAGGGACCTCGACGGCCTTGGCGTCGTTGTCGTCGCGGAAGGCGCTCGGTGGCGCGGGTATCTGGTAATCCCAGTCGCCGATCGAGATGTCCTCGCCGCTCGCCGACACGTAGTCGCTCGTGTCCTGCCCGAGGTTCGCCCCGGCCTCGTCGCTCGACGTCACCAGCTGCTCGTCCTCCTCCGGTCCCTTGTCCTCCTCGTACGACCTCGACCTCGTACCTGCAAGATAACCCGAGCCAGCCGACGAGTGAGAGAGCGAACTAATTGAGCGGGAGCTCGCGGAGCCGCGCGGCGCTCCCAGGCACGACAACGCGTGGGCGTCATTACTGGACAGTCATTGGAACGGCCGAGGAAAGCTGGCGTTTCCGTCGAATACGCGGCTGAGGCTCGCGAGACTTTCACGCTCGAGCATCGAGGCTTCCCCGAGGCACCGTTCCTTCGTTCCTTCCTACCTTTGGATTTCCGACTCGCACGTGCCTTCCCCTCCTACGCATCGAGCCGCGCTGCTCGTCAATAATTCTTCATACCGTAATTGCTCTCACCACGTGATTATGCGATCTCGCCTCTAATCGTTACTCTTGAAATTCATTTTTTCGTCCAAATTGGAATCCAAGAGGTTTGGCTATACGGCACAGAGGGGGAGGGATTCGTTTCATTGCGATAGATTTCTGTCTATTATTGATGCTAAGTGTTCCATACAATGATTAAATAATAATTTTAAAGCATCGTCCTAAGCATAGTCCGTGCCTCCCCCCCCCCACCCCAATCTACCACTATCTCTACCTCTCGGAGTTTTAACAACTTGGCGAAATAAGTAGAAGATACTCGGTTCACGCGCCAATTGATTATTGGACAGACAAATCGTTCGTTAATGGCAGTGGCTCGTCCTAACGATATCATTAAGTCGTGGAGTGCATTAGCGATCGGCATGCCTCATCATCATATGCCCAAGCAATAGTCGACGAGCCGTGTATTTACATGGATTTTACAATCAATAAAACGGCCGGCCGCCAACCGATCGTCAAGCGGCCCTTGGATGGATTTTTACGCATTTCGCTTATGACGTTTCGCTGGTTGAGCGAGAATTTCAAAAGCCCCATTAATATTTCAACATTACGAAATCCGGCCTCGCTCCGTCGGCTAGGATCTTATAATCCCAGCCATATACGTCGTAGGACAGGAGCGACGGACGCGCGTCTGAGTCACTGTCAGCCAGAGAGGAGCCGGTACGATGAAGTCGAGTCGTCGATCGTATCTCACCTGCGGCGGCCACTTCCGTGACGATGCTCCTCGCCTCCTCGCGTGCCTCCTTCTCCGTACTGGCAACTACCGGATCGAGGAGTGGGACCGTCGTCGGTGGAGGTGTCGAGGTTACCAGCGAGTGCGACAGCGTGTCCGAGACCTTCTGCAGGAGAATGTCCGTCTCCGTTGGCGAGGATTTACCTGCGATCGTAGGACATCGTTTAGTAAAGCCAAAAGAGCCTTGGATTCGAGAGGGTGGTTGGTTGGTGATGGTGGTGGCTGTGGTAGTGTAGGGAGATGGAATTGGGTAGGGTGGGGAGGAGGGACACGCCCTCGACGCTGTCACTCGACCGCCAGTAAGGACGAGCGGCGTCCTCGAGCGACCGGCCTATCAATTGCAAAAATTAATTGCCCATTGGAGTGCTTTTCGTCACGACAGTTGTGTTCAACGGCATTGGAGCAATTCCGAATGAGTGCTCAAGGACATTTGCGATTCGATTTCGAAAAGTGGCTTTGTGTAGCGGAGGGCATAAATATATTTGTCGGTTGACTCTCAGCTCGTCGGAATTCATTATTCTAATGATAAGGATTTGAAAGTAATTTTGGCTCCGTTGTTTGGTGCAATTAATTCTTGCTGTGCGAATAAGGCCGGGTAAGAGTTAACTGTCATAAAGGCACGCATGTATGAAAATATTATCATTCGTATAAGTGTTTTCCTTCTCATGGATCACAGTCAAATGATTGGAGTAGCAAGTAAATACTACTCTTTGCCATTTGTATTGGAGGCGTTCATAGTGAAATATCGTTTTTGACTTTCAAGTTGTGTCAATTAGGGTCGACTCGACGTAAGAGCCAAAATCCATTGTTTCTCCGAAAACAATTGTACGGACAGTAACATTTAAGAGTAATCGTTCGTTATTCAGTTGTTTATAATTTCAGAGAATTTGTGAAGTAAGATGTAATTTTGCGATATCCGTGGCCATTTATTGCACTTGTGACACATCACACATTTTTTATTTTAAAGTCAAATTAGATAGAATTTATGGCATCCCTCAAATTATACAACAAAACATTGATATATGTATATAAAAACAAACAAACAAACAAAAAATAAACAAAAAAAAAAAAAGGAAGTTTAGCGAACATTTTTAGTGAAATGGCTTTTCTGTTGACTCAAATCGAATTTTGATAAAAGTTTATAAAAACATCGTTTATTTATATCGACAATATTAGGAGAAATTCGTTAGTATTGGAATATTGATCCTCTTACAGTCTACAATATATATTGGCGAATATCTTCTTAATAATATAATATTGAGAGAGAAACAACGATTAATGTACTTATTGGGTAAGAAAAGTCATAAAAATACAAATGGTTAATGATTGATACAATTTAAATAATTCAACATTTTTCTCATCTGACAAAACGATGCCTCCTACCATCAATCATACGACTAATTAAATTTATTAAGTTATAAGTTGAAAAAGAAAAAATAATGAGAAAAAAAAAATAAAACCATCACCAATAGTTAGTAAAGTGCAAAAGATATTATTGAAAGAGGTGCGGATACTTATCAATTTACAAATAGAAGTCCAATACCAGCGATTTTTCCTCTTCAACTTTACCATTCAACTATTCAAACGTGCAAATTAGAATAAACAGCGATTTTTATATGAAAAGTCTGTTTTACTTAAATTAACAATTAATAAAATAATAAAGTGCAAAGACATACAATTTGTGCTCGTTTCATGACGTTCTTTAAACATTACCATTATTATTATTATTGTTGTTGTTGTTATTGTTATTGTTATTATTATTGTTATTGTTATTAATTACACTAAATATCTACACTGTGCAGTAATAAAAGTTAACTCAGGGGTTGACTGATTAGGTGTGAATAGAATTTGTGCTGCACCGAGAACAACTTGCCCATTCTAAATTAATTCTCCGATATTATTTCGACCAAAACAGTGCCAATTCCAAGATTATCGTTTGCTTGATTCGCTCGACTTTTAAAAACTTTGATTTTTGTTACGAGCAATATTGTGCGTCGCGAGCTGATGCATAAATATCGAAGACAAAGAGCGTAATTTTAATCGATCGTACGCGCTCTTCCCGTCATTTCCATAAAATTTGTTTATCGGGTAGTTGACTTTATCGATCGAGTCAATTGCTCAAAACGTTAAGTACACTGTGGTCTTATTTTTCCCGTTCTGCCTCTCTCTCTCTCTCTCTCTCTCTCTCTCTCTCTCTATCTATCTATCTATCTTCAAGCCTTGAACTCGGTATTATATCACTTTAGCTAAGGGACAACGAGGAAGATATTGATATTATCGCTCAACAGCGAGATCAATGTGGCTTTGTAGCCTTGGACGCTCCTTCGTCTTCGCAAGTCGGAGGACTTTCAATCGTTAAGGCGACAGAATCTCGTAAAGGGCCGGCGATCAATTCGAAAAATGTCGTCGTGTCCGCATCACGGCGAAACCTCTCGCGAGAATATGAAATCGATCGGTAAGCAGTTGGCAGGAAGTTGGACCGAAAGTTGGCGCCGAGGTACGAGAGAAGACGACATAGTAATAATCATCGGTGGGCAAAGTAGAGCGAGTCGACAAACGTTCTTTGTTCGACGGCGTCCCGGATTATTATTCTCGGCGCAGCAGTGGCCGAAGCTGGGCCGTGGGTGAGCACCTCGGGCACCTGGTACCGCGGTCGAAGCCTCCTCGATCCTCCTCGGATTCTGGGCGTCGAGCGTGAAAGCCTCGCCGCCATTGGTCGTTAGGTGGCGTGTGCGCATCTCCACTCGTCCCAACTCCAAGTGCATCCTGTCCGACTGACTGCGCAATATCTTCCCGCGTTTTTTTATCGCCGTCTCCGCGGCTCCGTCCAGGTCATTCGTGCCGTTGCTGGCCAACTCGGGCTGCTCGGGGCATTGAGGTATCGTCGATAACACCGGGCAGGACGGCCCTGCGTCTCTCCCGTCTTCGTCACCTGGCCCGCTAAGCTCCAGATCGGCCAGCCTCGAGTTCACGCTCGAGCGCCCCGTGGCAACGGACACTTTGATCCTTGTCGTCCTCGCATTGTCATCGAGGCCGTAGCCGCCGCCAGCCCCGTGTCCAACGAGCTCCATCCCCACGTCGGAGTCCGCGACTCTGGCCGTATCGGCGTGGCCGATCGCGAGCTCCGAGCCCGTCCTCGAGCCTACGCTCGAGTCTTCGTCCGCGCGAGGTGACCACTCCGACTCCCCCCTCGGATGCAAGCTCGCGACCCTGGCGGCGGTGGCGGCTCGAGGCGACTCCTGGAGTCGACCCTCGGCCGCCTCGATGATCGAGTCGATGGCCATGGCGATCTCCTCGCGCTCGTCCTCCGTCAAGCTCGGGAGGCCGAAGGCCGCAGCCTCGGTGACCGAGGAGCAGCCGGGACTATTACAACTACTGCAGGAGCCGACAGTCGTGGTGGTAGCGACGGTGGTGGTGGTGGCGATGGAATTGGCGGCAGCGGAAGCTCTTAACGCGTCTGGCACTTCTACAATGCACGACGGGGATGATGGGGCGGCGCTTTTCAGGATTTTGCGCGGCTTTGGAATGGGCGGCGCAAGCTCTGCCGGGCGTTACGTCCATCGGATTTACAAAACAAAAGGCACAGAAAGCTACTGACCCATAACCAGTGCAGCTTGGAGTGATAGGCCGTCGTGGTCAGACATGAGCATTGTTAACAATATCGTAGCAATTGTCGCGCTAATTCTCCTGATTAAATAATCAGCGACACCATTTCACGTACTTTCTTTGGCCTAGCACGATCGGACGTTAGCCAGTTCGACGGATGACGAGTTTGAGGTGGAGAGGCTGAGCGTTTTTAATGGTATGAAAAGGATCGAGAATACGATGGAGTCACGGCTTTGCGTGATTATTGATATTGCAGAGTGATCGAGGGAGACTGCTCGTTCGCCGACAGGTTGTCAAGCTAATTGAACATTAGGCGAGCCTCTTGTGCCATTGTTCCCCCTGATTTTGTGCGCCACTTTCGTGTCCTCCTGACAATATTGAAGCGCTAATGTGGATGGCGCGCGGTGACTTACGAATTGCGAGGCTACTTTGCATTTTACCGGTAATATGCGATTTCCAAAGGAAATAAAAGAAAAGGGAGGGAAGGGAGAAAGTAGGCGGGGGGGGGGGGAGAAAAAACGAAAACGAGGCCTTCTTATTTTACACGGCAATTTAAATAACTGGCAATGTGCATCGGAGTTTGTGAGTGGTCGAGACGCATTTGGAAAGTCAGTTTAAAGATAAATTAATTTGATGCGATGTTAATGAATAATTGGGAGGGGATTGAAGCTTTAACGTTCATATGATTTTGTTATAAAGGCAATTAAACGATGCTTTGTAAGCCGGTGATTTTTGTAATAAACAAATTGGTCACTTTTGATGAACGACGCTTGATTATTTTCTTAATAATGCTCATATCTGACCGAAACTGTTTGAAAGACTAAAGAGTAAACAGTTCATTCAGGTAGTACGATCTATGCAATTACTTGGCTCCACTATACGTAGAGAGAGAAATGTAGAATCGAACGACGCCGTATCAGCTGTAAGTAATAATTAAGCAAGCTAGGAGGAAGTTTCAGAAACATGTTTAATAGAAATATTCTTCAAACACCGTTAATTATAGCAATAGCAATCTTATTATATACAACAATGATTATACAACGTGATTGATATTTGCGTTGGAAAGCAGATAAAAAAAAAAAAAAACCAAGCATTCCAATATATATATATATATATATATATATATATATTATGAGTACATTTTTCGTTGTAAAAATAAAATATAAAAACGATAAAAAAGAGATTAATAATAAGAAGAATAAAAACAAAATAATTAAACAATGTTACAGTCTTCTTTCTTGTAAAATGAGATGCCAGACACAATTGAAATGCCGAAATGAAATTTTCTAAGCGCATGATTGGGCATAAAATTGTCTATGACGATAAATATTATTATAACCAATCGATCCTTTATTCAAATTATCACATTATCCTACCAATATTTTGCATATTCTGTTGGCGTTATAAAGCGCGATAAAGAAAATGTCTTTTTTCTTCAGCTTGTCAGATAATGCGCGCGCGCGTGTTATTGTGGAATGAAAAAATTGTAATCGTAAAAGAAAATACGCGCATATGCATTGTATTGTTGCTTCCCCCTCCACATTACACTCGGCACAAGGAAGCAATAAATGGCAATTATATTAACGAAGCCATGAAATAATAATAAGCTTGGGATCGCGAATTTTTTTTACCCAACAGTCACATCGAATGTTTCCGGTTCCTCGAAATATTTATACCGAAAAGAAATTGTGATTTCGCGAGAAGTTAAATAGTCCACACACCGTGTGCAATGCTCCAAAGTATCGAAAATATCGAATCAATTGCCAACTATTATTTACTTCCAGTTTAAAACGGTGGATTAAAACATGGTATGGGACGCGACACCATTGAATCCGACAATCCCATAAAAAAAACTGATTTTATCCCCTCTTAACTGGTATCTCGGATACCGATAAACCATAACTCGATCATTATCATAATTCGTGTCTTATATCGTGCCCCGGGGAAAAATGGAGCGAGCCACGTTATAAGGCGCTAAAGCGGGAAATAAGAAAAAATGAGAGAGAGAGAGAGAGAGAGAGAGAGGAAACAAAAAAGAAAAGCAAATGACGGATCAAACGAACTCCCCGGTCCTGCTTTCCAATATGGTATTGAGTCGCTCCAAGAAGCGAGTCCAATTCTCATTGGACTCCTCGCGGCTGACGAGACCCGGTGGCGGGGGCTCGAGGATGCTGAGCCTCGAGTCGCGGTTCGTCCTGGGTTCGGTACGCTCGACGATGGGCAGCGAGGGTAAACCATCGATGTCCCCGGGTATGGACACGTCCATGGGGGCGAGCTGCACGTCCTCGGGTTTCGTCGATATCGCGAATATGGCGAGGCTGCTGAGGGCCGGGGGCACGACCTCGTCCGCGGGGTCCGCGTGACAGCCGACGAGCCTCAGTTTGCCGAGCCTCGGCCTTCCGTCTCCGGACCCCGGCACCATCTCCCGGCCTCGGGGACAACAGTCGAAGCTCCCGTGTCGACGGAGCGCTGCGACGCTCGGCACCTTCACCACGATCTTCTTGCTCTGGCGCAGACTGCCGGACCTTGGCACGAGGCCGCGTTGGCGCACGGAGCCGGGGAGCGGCCTTGCTGGGGGGGAGATGCCCGGGTCTAGCGTGACTAGCTTACCTTTCTTGGCTACTCTAGCGGGATCTAGGGGGGGCTGCTCCTCGTCGTGCTTCGGCTCATCGTTGAGGTGGCAGCCGAGGTCCGAGCTGGCCTTGCTGCTGCCCGTCGCCGCGGGCCCTACGTCGATGTCCGAGGACGGCTTCGAGAGGTCCATGTCCGAGGTAAGCGACTCGTCCGAGTCGACGATGCGCTCGAGGCCCTGAGCGGAGATGGCCGAGGGCAGGGGACGTGCGATCGGTGGCGGTGGCGCCGCGCGTTTCTTACGCTGACCTAAGGAACGAAGGTGACGCGGAGCGCCAGGGTTAGCCCGGCTGGAGAAACTGGTCCATCATCATCGTCGTCGTCGTCGTCGTCGTCGTCGTCGTCGTTGTCGTCGTCGTCGTCATCGTCATCATCATCGTCATCGTCGTCGTCATCGTCATCATCATCGTCGTCATCAGACCCCACCCCCACCCCACCCCCTCACCCCATCAACCACCCAACATCGCTCGATCCCAATTTTTTTTCTTTTTCGGACAGTTGAGTTATAGTTAGATCCTATGTCATCATCGGGACGTATCGTTGACGCATCATTGCGTATATTTGTAAAAGTATGGCATGATGAAATGTGGTCAACACGGAAACACGAATCTTCGGAAATTTTAACACTACGGGTATTCACGCTTCTAGCAACAAACTGATTGAGGCGTCGATGCTTGGGACGTTTAGCGCGTTACGTGTCACAGAATTATGTCTGCGCGCTAATTGTCAAGCTATTTATTAAAAATTTATTTCATAACAACTTCTAAGATCACAAAAAGAATGTATATTACGGATTGGACGTATTATGATTAGTGATGGATTTGGAGATAGAAGCGGCCGTGTTTTGCATAACTTACTTGAGTCAGATTCTGCAGAGTAGGCGCGGGAATAAAATAAATTATCATTAGAAAATAGAATATCGTTACATGTGGATGAAACACAGATTTGATTTTATCGGCTAAATGATTGAAAAAATAATTAGCCTTGTAAGAATTTCTCATTCAAGCTCTCGTCGTTATATACATATATATATATATATATATATATGTGTGTGTGTGTGTGTGTGTGTGAGTGCGCGCGCGCGTGTGTGTGTATGTATATATATTTGTTGTGTGATCCGATGATTAAATATTTTGCGAATAATGTTCGCTGGTGTTTGTAACATTAAAAAGCTGTCGTACTGCGTGTGCAACATTATAAGCGAGTATCGGTAGTTCAAAATAATCTCACTGACCGATTGACGATTGACAAGTCCCATAATATCCGTGTTTATAAATATATTGGATAGGCAGTTGTGCGATCCTTCAGCACACAATGTAAAGAACAATGACGAGGTCGCGTAGTTGAATCGCGTCGCGTAATAAATCGAACGTTGCGTTGTGTGCGTTACATATGCGTTTACCTATATAATTCACGACCTCATGCGAACCGACGAAAACTTGTCCAAGATATTAGCACATGTCATTACTTTCACCGTCCAATACACCACCGACGAAATAAAGTTTCTCCGGAGTCAGGGAGACAGACGGACATACAGACAGAGAAACGATGGATTGGCGAGGTCAGAGAGAGAGAGAGAGAGAGAGAGAGAGAGAGATGGCATTGGAGATGAAAAGTCCATCAATTTCAAATATCCGATTGCCCGAGACTTTAAAATATAATATGCCGCAATCTTCGAGCCAGCCACGTAATAATCATAATAATAATAATACACCGAGTGGTAAGGAGGTTACGACCCTCTCTCCCTCTCCTATTTGCGCATAATCGATCCTTACTGTCCCCCTCCGTACATGCTCTCCCCGATCTACTGAGAGCTTTCGAACTCGGAATAAAAAGAATAAAAATGTGCCACGAACCGGTGGAGCTGAGGGAGGTGTTGCTGATACCCCGGCTAAGGGTGCCCCCGTGACTCGAGGCGATGGCCAGGTTACCGAGGCTCTTGCTCGCCTGGGATGTGTGGGCGAGCTTTCTCGGTGACTCGAGAATACCCTGCATACGGCCCCTCCGTGGCAGCGTCTCCGGCATCCTCGCCGAGTCCGGATTGTCACTGAGAACCGAGGCCTCGTGGTAACCGGAACTGTCGCTGCTGTTGCGGCTGTGGCTTATCACGATCTTGTCCTTGTCGCTCGGCATCCCCGACACCGTCATCGTCTCCTGGAATGTGCCGTGCTCACGTATTATCCAACTTTTTCAAACGCTAATCGAGATTCACCGCTTACCGTTAAGCGACGCTTTTATCATGCACCGTGAATTGCCGATACTCGACTTACTCGCCTCACAAAAACATTCGACCTCCGAGGCGAAAATAGAACTATCAAGTTATGTCATTTTTTAAATTTTATATATATATATATATATATATATATATATATATATAGAAACATAGAAACATACTGTCGATAATTTGATAATATGATAATATGATATTTATCCGAATTTATGGAGTTTTGAAATGTCAGTCGTAGGGCTATTGTATGTATCAAGAGTTGGAGAATGAAAAACTCATGTCATAAATGTTATTGCGGTAATATTTTTCGTTCTAAGAGTCACTAAGGTTTACCAAAATCCAGGAAGATTTAATTATCTAATTGCTACGAATTACTTGCGGCAAACCGGATGTGATAAATGCAGTCAGCTTGATTTGTATTCACGGGTAATAACGATAATACGATGCATTATAATATGAAATCTCTGTTAAAATTCATTTTACAATTAATTGGCGTAACGCTTAATGGATAAGAATATATATATATATATATATATATATATATATATATATATATATTATGCCACACCAAGAGCATACAATAATACGATAGTACATTAAAAGCCCGAGCTTTGTGCTTTGAAATTCCGATTAAAAGATAATCGAATACATCGCGTCTGCTATTCTATTATAATTCCAATGTGTCCGTGCCGAGTCGAATGGGAGCTTTGATTATTGAAAAATTGAAAAATCGCTTCCCTCTCTAACCAACTGACCTGCTGTTGTTGTTGCTGTTGCAGTTGCTGCTGTTGCTGTTTCTGTTGTTGTTGTTGTTGTTGTTGTTGTTGTTGTTGTTGTTGTTGTTGTTGTTGTTGGGTGGGCGGTTTCGGTGCGGGTCTACGTTTCCTCTGGGGCCTCGCGGGCGCCGGTGGTGGCTGTTGGTGCGTCGTCATCGTCGTCGACGTCGTCATCGTCGTCGTCGTCGTCGTCATCGTCGTCGTCTTCGTCGTCTGATGATGAACGGGGCTCGAGCTGCGGGCGGTCTCGTCGCTGTGCGCGGGCGAGACGCTGCGGTTGCCAAGGCTATCGGTGCTCACCGAGCTCTCCTTCGACTTCTTGAAGATGAAGCCGAAGACGGATTGGCGGGCCTGATGACGCCTGCACTCCTCCTGCTTCTGCAGGGCCATTATGTCCTGGCTGCTGAGGGCCGAGCCCATGTGGCCGCGGGTCTGCTGTCGCGGACACAGCGTCACCTCCTGCAGATGATAGTCCTGGAGGCTGAGCGTCGGGTTCAGCGTCTCGGCCAGGTTCGCTGTCGCGTATACACAGTCGTCAATTTAATTATCTCGATCGAACGATCGATATGGTTGACTGGGGGAGGGGTGGCGTGGGGTGGGGTTGGGGTTGGGGTTGGGGTTGGGGTTGGGGTTGGGGTTGGGGGGGGGGGGCTGACTTTTGAATTGACTCCGATCGATAAGGTCGAAGGGACACCGAGTGATTTTTCCCTATCGAACGAGGAGTTTGGAGTAAAAGTAATGGATTTGCTTATTCCGCGAGCGCCAATGTCGGAGGGTGGAAGGAGGTCGTAAGGCGCTAAATCGATGAAATATTCAATAATTAAGATTGAGCGCGTCGATTTTGATACGAAACTTTCTACGCAATTCAGCATTTTCTCCTATACGTGCATTGATTGGATATTAAGTAGCCTCTCGGCTTCATAATACCTAGCCTATTATTCCAACTGAAGATTTCGAATTTTGATTTAACCTTTTTTACGGCTTAGCGTCGATTTAATACGTCGGAATATTTTCCAATTACTGCCACGCCGGCGCTTTCTAACCGCTTACAGTGTTACCTTAGTACAATAACGAGCGATCGGCCGTTTAGAAAGGCTACTCTTCGTTATTAGAGTGGACAAGAACCTTAAGTGGCCAGACGCGAGTGAAAATTGACGCTAATAAAGGCAATGGGCGTAGGTCGCGCGAGCTTTTATTCATTCAACGAGACCACGCGATCAAGTAGATCAAGCAGAAATAGAAAATCACCCTCGACATCGCGTACACGGCGCACATTAGCGTTACGTCAAAGGGTTCTCTCGGCCAGTGCGGTTGCACGCGGTACCGTAAATTCTCGCTACCAACAGCTAACGAATGAGGAAAAAGGACGAGAAAAGGATGATCCGTCTGGGGGGCGGCTGCATCTAGCTATATTGACGAAAAACCTCTCTCGCACGCCTTACTGCCGTACGTGGGAATGCCGCACGCACGCTCTCTCTCTCTCTCTCTCTCTCTCTCTCTCTCTCATTGGTATCGGCTCATTCGCTCACTCACTCACTCACTCACTCACTCACTCACTCACTCATTTATCCCGGCCCCGAGAAAATCGGATCTTGTTCCGCATCGCGGGGCTTCGGAAGCCTCGCCGCTCCTCGTGCGCGGCCGAGCGTGCGATCGGCCAACGAAGCCCGCTTTTATTTATTTCTCGTCTCGGGACCGTCGCTTCTTCGACTTCCACTGCCAATCATCGGGTCGACGCATAATCGACCCGCCGTTGACTTTTAATGCCACTAGTGACGCTCCACGCTATCCCAATTTCGTCGCGGGAAAATTACCGATGGATTTAGCTCAACGTTGCTTATCGCGATGTGGAGTGAGACCGATGACAATCACTGCCGCGAGCATCCTTCAAGCGGCATTTTCTTTGCAGGAGGTAGTGTCACGTTCGCTCAGACTGCTATTTAGTTGGACTCTGGATGGAGGGGATTAAACGAGTTTTTTTGCCGTTTAAGCGAGTCGCCGAAACGAATTTAATGTGCGAATGTCAGACGAGACGGACTATGCTGGCGCTCGTCTAATCGATCGATAAACGCTGCGATTTCAATAACCCATCGTTTTGGCTTCTCAAATGTCACGTTTATTTTCTTTTATTCCGTAGATTTTAATAACAATTCTCGGCTATGACTGATAAATAACGATTAACAAAGCGCTGGTCAAATAGGCGAGTACGGGAGGCTGAAATGCAGGTGATTTATTTAATTAAATGACCGACAATGGGCATGGATAATTAGAATGGATAATGAAGTTTAAAGTCCGTTTAAATGCCCTTTCCTTTCCAATCCTGACGCAACGATAATCTCGACCTAGCGAGGCACGTAAACGTCTAATTATCTTCGAGGAGCATTAATTCGTACGGACTTTAATCTAGTTCGCAAGCTCCAACGTATCGCAAATCCCGGTGCGGAAATTTTTGTTTAGAAAGTAAAAAAGAGCGCGTTAAAAGATATCCAAATCTCGGAATAAATCACAGGCGTCGAGTTGGATACGATTTACGGGCGAGTCGAGCTGTTTTCCATCTTATCGCCCGTCCATTTCCGTCAACTCCGCGAAACAAACGCGTTCTCGGCCAACTCCAAGGGGCCCGATATTTTTTTCCACCTGACAGGAAGTAGAACGTTCAAGATGCTATCGTCCAACACTACGAATTGGCCAAAGCTTGTTTGCGTAGTTCGGATGCAAATAGCAAATTCGAATGAATTAAGCGCTGAAGTTTTGGCAATGGGATGGATTTGGGAGACTTCAGCGCCAGGCGAAATGGTTAATGTCGCAACGACTAGCCCGACATGCGAGGGATGGCTAAGCCTGGATATTATTTGCTACGAGAAATAGCGAAGACTACTATCTCTGACTATGTGCAAGTCAGAGAGAGAGAGAGAGAGAGAGAGAGACGCTCAGATTGTGGAGTAGCCACTCTTGTGAAACACTTATAGGAATACGAAATATTATGATGTGAATAATGAAATATTAATAATTGCTTTTGGGGAGACGATGAAGTAGATAATAAAGAGTATTGTCGGAGTAAAATTGATAAAAATTTCAAGCAACGCTTAAGTTCGAATTTTGATTATTGTAGGTGTACAAATTATAATTGAAAAGTAAGAAATAGACTTTTCGTCTAAGAAAAACAATGACTCGTCGTTGTAAGTCTTAAAAATCTTGTGAATCTCTCTCTCTCTAACACTCTCTCTCTCTCTCTCTCTCTCTCTCTCTCTCTCTCTTTCTCTCTTTCTATCTCTGTTTATCTCAAAACGTTCGAATCACTTTCGCCTTGCGTGGTGATGGTGTGACGTAAAAAACGTGCTCCCTGTATGATAAATAAATACGCCAACTCAGGCGTAAATCAATTAGCCCTTAATTATCACATTTCTCCGATGCTGAAATTTCTCCCACCTGCGCTCCATGGGGATTCTTAATTACTGTTTGCCACACCCCCGCCGGCATCTTGCCGACGTCATGCGCTCTTGACCGCACACGCACGCATGCATACGCAAACGGGTTTACCGATACTCGCGAATTGTCATCGATAGATGATATATCGGGTCGAGTCAATTAGACTTTTCTGTCACATAAATCCTAATTTCGTCTTTATCAACTGACCTATGCTCAATCTATGCCCGTCCCGCCCCTGTCAATAACTGTCCCAAACGAAGCGAATAAGCAGCTTCGAATTTTCAATCGAAAGTTCATGTGAAAATGTGAGAATTGCCCAAGTCGACGAATAGATAGCGATACTTTGTAATCTAAATTTACCCCAAGTGTTGACATTGTTGTCGCAAAGGTTTCCTTTGGTGACGTTTTCATCGGGCTAATGCCGCGATTGTCATCAGATATTTGCCCACAAATGGAAAAGCCACGCGGTATCAAATGACAAATAATGTATAAACAAGTATATCGAAGTTCTTATATAAGATTAAAAAAGTAGAACGGTCCTTATCATGACACCATACATCTTTGAGAAATACAAGAATTTGTCGCGCTGAGTGTGACAAAAGTCTCATCCGATGTGGCAACGATGATGATGAATAGGCGCTGGCGCACTTTCAATTTTGATGGGAAACCGCATGTACGAGCACGTTAATCGCTTACATCAATCGAATGTTGAATCAGCCATTTAATTGTTTTGCGCTCGTTGCCTTGAAATGCGCGCGCGCATTAAATATGCGACATCGGCTTGTTTAGTTCGACCGAAAAAGCTCTATAAAAGGTGATGCGCCCGATCGAATGACAATTTGCAATCCGTCCTTGTATAAGGCACGCATTCGCGAATTTCGCCCGTCCGCCGGCGTTAATGCGCTCGCTTTCCGTGAAAATGCGCCGCTCGCGATTCCACGAACGACCGGATTTTGCAAACCTCGGTTAAAAAGTTAAAGTAGGCTCGACTGGTTGTTGAAATTCGGTCCCTCGAAAGTGGTGGTGGTGAGGTGGTGGCGGTGGTCGGGTCGGGGAGGGGTGAGCGACTGAGTTAATTTAGCGCAACGCTAAATTATTTTCCCAATTCGGGAATATCGGCGTATCTAGGTAACCGCGCGCGATGCCGGTGATCGGATTACCGATTCGCATGGGATCTCCTCCGGCTTAGTGGATTTTTCTATCGCTGGACACTCGCTTGACACTCGCTTGACACTCGGCTTGATCACCTTGACAATTTTCGGACTCGATCAGACGACGAGCCCGATCGCTTTAAACCCTGGAATTTGTTTATTTCAAGTGGTTGGGTTTATTGCATTCGTGCGTCTATTACGTGCAATTTGCGCAAATCAGTTTAACGTGCTCGTAGATCAGGTAATTGGCAATTGGAATTGAAAATTTTTTTCTCTTATCTTTTTTTCTCACCACTCTCTTGGAATACAAGATTTATTTCCACACTAATTCTTTATGTTTTGAGTTTATTGATAAGCTTTATTTTACTATTATTATATTTTATTAAAATTGTATTGAAATTGAAAAAGCGTCCGTTATTTACATTATTGCGATTGCCGACCGTGAAAGTCTTTCATCTTACGTATTTTTGAATAAGTTCATTATTATGGCTGAGCATAATGAAATATCTGTTTAATGTTCCCTTTTTGGGAAAAAAAAATTTTTCATTTTTCTTCATTATTTTTTTTTTACTATAGTAATGTTATTGTTATAAATACAGAGACATTAAAAGATGAATATAGATATGATTAATTTTAACAGAAGATGTAGAACTTTTACCTTTTTTAGAAATTGTCTAGCAAATTGGCGAATTTAAGGAAAGAAGAAACAAGAATGGCCATCGTAATTCGAAGGATACGCGAAACGTATAAATAATCACATTTATGCGCACTTAGAAATTTAAAAATTAATAATATCAATCAATATTTATTATATATATATATATATATATATATATATACGTGTATATGACTATATTAATATATATTTTCATACTCGGTACGCAGGCTAAACTGTCAACAATTATTAGGTATCGATTCAACCTAAGTTTTTTTCTTTTATTTTTCTAGTTCTATATGTCATACTATTAAAGTTAAAACAATTAAATATTTAAATAATATTAATTTTAATTAAAACGCGTATTACCGATTTATTATGTATACGAATTTTAATGTTATCCTCGCACCGTCGACACTTTGGATATACGATTTAAAATAAATAGCTCAGTAGTTACATTTACTATTTATTTATTTGCGGCTACATAATTATTTCAAAAAGATCGAGCTCAAGTAATATATATTTAATTGCATTAATGTAAAATACAACGAAGATACAATGAAAACAAAGGTGATACGCGGCAAATAGAAAGAGTAAAATCAATGTCTTAACAATAAAAAGAAAAATAAGTACCTCTATTTATTTTTAATTAAATAGACTATGGATAAATTAATAAAGTATTAATTATCTTAGAGAGAAATGGCCGATTACAATGTATTGGTAGCGTGCACAGCTCTATCGTTGATATAAATTGTCTTTTGGTAATGAAAGTGATGGGCCTTTGGACTTTATGGGTTCATGCTTTTTCTATTGAGAACCACTGGAAAAATTTTTTTAAAACATAATGGACTGCCAATAATATAATTCCGTCTGAAAGAGCCGATCGCTATCGTTCGAAAGCAGTCGTGAGTATTTTTCCTATTTTCATCGATAACAATTACGGTGCTTTCAATTTATTCGGGGGGGGTGGGGGATATATATATATATATATATATATATATATATATATATATAACATACGCAATGCAGCTCCTCACCACCCCACTTCCGCCCAATCAATCCGTAACGAAGAGTACCGCAGCAATTTCTCCGAATTTGAATTCTATCGTCCAACTTTCTTTCGCGCTCCATACAATGGAAAAATAATGCCCCATGCGCGAGACTATAATTTTCCTGCCGAGAGCGTAGGGGAATCAGCCAACACTACTATCCTTTATCGCTTATTATTCATAAGGTATTTGATTTTAAAATATATTTCAATCAAATTCTATAAATGCACGTGTATTGGTCGAGGAGACGAAGCCCACCTTAAGCACGCGGACGCCGAAGGCTTTCTAATTATAGTTGTTTATTTAAATCAAGCACGTCAGTTCTCGTGAGCGGATTAAATATTTATCTGACTAGTGATGAATCGTCGTGTCACTGGACGCGCTGCGCACGTAAGCGCCTGCGTATAAAAACGAATGAAAACGAGAAGAAGAAAAAAAAACGCGTCCTCCGCGCATTTGTATGCGTGAGGTGATAAGGACAATAATAGTGCCTCGGTAACAATAATGGATATGGGAAAGGAGAGCCTTGCCTGCTTCAATGGGCTATTAATTAATTAATTACTTAATTAATTAATTAATGCGATTACTTACCTGGGTGTCGAAGCTCGTACTTATTTCGGTCCAGATTCTTCTCACGGCACACTTCGTCCAAGATCTCGCCCAGATTCGTCTTCGGGCTCACTCTCGAGACGTAAAGCTGATTTCGCGGCAGATGGACCTGCGGGGTGTTAAGCGCACGTTCCTCTCCTCAATCAAATGATGCGATTTAATTAAGCGATGGGAATAAGGAGCGCAATCGATAACAACTGATAACAAGTGTTTCGTGTCTTTCGCCACTCTCGAGCCTATCCTTTTCCTTTCATTATTTACTCATTCGTTCATTCAATTGCTTCTAAAACTTATTTCTCTTTATACATATTCGCTTCTTTAATTGCGTTCGTATTGTATTTGTCTTGCATGACTCTTATCTTTGCCGCGCGCGTGTGTGCACACGGCATGTCGAGCTACTCTCGAGGATATTTGCGTAAATTTGTTTAGAAAATATGACGAGCCTCTTATGACAGAAGTTTGACTGACCGATAGATGATACTTAACTCGTACGAATACTTGAATTAGCCGTTCAATTTCTAAATACCATACATAATGATTATACGTTCACTTGTGCATTAATCGAGCAGATATTGATTAAATAGTCGAGTGTTAGCAAATTTTGACGTCACAATGGGCAAGGGAAAGCGACCGCGATCATCTTATCAAAATCCATCCAACGAGTCAAGCATATAGTATAAATTAAGCTTTTGTTTTTTATTTTGTACTATTAAGCTCGAAATTACATACTATTTCACGCATATATTTTTTATTATTTTTTTTTTTTTTTTTGGTACTAAAGAATCTGAGGACAGGGCTACGCGTTTATAATAGTTATTATTTTAATATTAATATTAATTGATACAAGCGGTACGGCGTCATAATGTAATCTAGGCATTTATTACGAATAACGTGAATGATATTAATTATTACGTGATTATGGTAATCGAGTAAAGATATCAAGAACAGATGAGAAGGGAAACAAGGCAAACTGTGGCTCGCGGATCGAGTATAAACGGGAAAAAGCCGAGCAAATCGCCGCCTTATCTATTACAAAATTGCATGCAAAAGAGACGCGGCTAATCTTTACCTGTAATCTGAAAGTCGTTTCGAAGGGCTGATTAGTTTGTCGGTTCTTGCGCGGAAGGAAAGTCCCCTGCTTCGGCAGCAATTTCACCTACGACATAAGTAAAGAGAAAAAACATTAATTTATAGGAGTCTGTGACGGCAAGCGACAAAAGCCTAAACAAACGACTCCATCGCTCCTTCCTTTTGTCTCCCGTTTTCGGTACCATTAATCATACATCGCACGCACCCCCCCCCCCCCCCCCCCCCCCCCGCTCCACACACAGGCACACAACCCGATCCCCCTGAAAATTGATATCTTGGCATGAAGAATCCTATTGGCGAGTCAATTGCATAGGAATAATCGAATCTTCGACTTCGGTTATTTTGTGCAAAGGTAAATAATATGCGAATGGCGGGATTATTATGTCTTCGGAGCGAGCCTCGTAAATCTATTGGAATTGAAAAATCATTGGCACAACCGAACAACAATCCTTCACTATATGACTTAAAAAGTACTATTAATTTTAATCAATTGTCGAAGGTGTAGAGGTCTGCATCGTCTGCAAAAGTAATCAAATGTGCACTTGAGTTTGCGTGTTTCGCGATCGTCGCTTTTGCGGTAATTACATGCGCTCATTAACTGCAGCAACATTACTCAATCTTCGTCGGTGTAGTAATGAAAGTTTAAAAATTGCGATATTGGCTTATTCCATAAATATGCTATTTACCATGAATGAGAGATCCGATGATTATATTATATTTATATTATATACCTGAAATTTGACGATGAACGGTTGCCGATTGATTAATTAGGATCGCGCAAAACTGATTGCGCAATTGTCAACGCACTTAATTTCAAAAGTAAATTGTTGTTTGAAATTCTCCATTGACATTAATTTGATCGTAAATGCCGACAGAATAAACTCGAAAGTTGTCCAAAAAGTAAATTATATTGCAAAGAGATTATAATACAGCGAGTGTCGCAATACCTACATATATTTCATTTCCTTATTAATGCATAATTAGAGATTATAATTATGTAAGGCCAATATAAAGTTAATATTATTATTAAAAATTATTCTTACTAATAAGTTTACGGTTATGCACAGATTATAAAAGAAAGTTTTACAAAAGAATCGAGGTTAAATGTGTTATATTTCAGTTTACGCAGGAAACAGTTTTTGACGTACAATTCCTGCAAAATATTCTTTAATTTATGAATTTTAATGGCAGATAATAATTTTATTATAATTATTATTATTCTCGTATATTAATTTATATCATTAGTTATTTATTAATATTTACAATAATTACAAAACGATAACTGTACACAATAATTAATTTATAAAATTATTAATATTTCGATACTAACATAATAATAATAATAATAATAATAATAATAATAATCATAATAATAATAATAACAATAAAAATAATAACAGCAACAATAATAATCATAATAACAACAGTATAGAAATTACCTACCATAAATCTTAGTACATAAAAATTCGCATCGTAGATCTTACACACTTTCACATGTTACTTTAACATACTTTTATTCATTAATACCCTCAAATCAGTTATTTCAAGGACCATAAGCTTATCTTTAATATATAATTACCTTCACATAAGAATATTATTCCTGAAAAATATGACTCGTGTAAGTGTACGTTTTACGATTTAACAAACGTGTGACACGAAATCGCATGCACAAACCGATGTGTGTGTGCGCGCGTGCGCGTGCGCGTGTGCGCTTGTGTCTTGTAAGTATTTAGGTTTACTGTTTAGTGTGTCGTTACCCTTTCAACTTCATTTATGACATGAATCAACAACAGTGTAAGAGACAAAGTTAAAGACAATGATAAATGAAAGGGTAACGTACTTAGGTGTCGTTATTCATTATTTTAAAGGCTTTCAGCTTTAATATTGATCTCGGTTATTCTACTTAAAAATAATCGTATGAACTGATTGGCCGGACGACTGCGGCAAATCAATAATTAACAAACTGCATACTCCAATTGAAACAAAGTAAAAATAAATTATCGTCGCTTTAGAGAAAGTTAGCTAAATTTTTTTTATGTTCTTACAAGATAGTTAGTTAGTTTCTATTAGTGCTTGAACAACTATTCTTAAGTATCGGGGACAATTTTTAATTTTTTTTCCCTTTATTTTTTTTTTATTTCTTTAATAAATTCGTTAGATACAGTTAAGAACAGATTTTATTGCGAATTTTAAGAATTAATTGATAATTTATTAGAATAGTAATTAAATAAAATATAAACACTTTCTTATTGCAATTATATTAATCGACTTCATCCTTTTAGAAGAAACATTTTTATATATTATGATAGACCCGAAAGAAGTAATTGCATTAATAACGTTTCATTTGTACGATAATTTTTTTTTTTTTTTTTTTTTAACTAAATTATCCTACTAAAACCATTCCTAAGAATACAAAATTTCCATTATAAATTCCATATGAGCTCGACAGTTATCTTATAATATTTATGAACGTTTTGAGTTTTTTCAACTATTAAGTAAAAATGAACATTATGGTAAATCATTGAAATTGCAATTATAAATGAGTTTGTTGCTACGTAAATTGAAATCTGTCATCATTAATATTTACCAAAAAAAAAAAAAAAAAAAAAAAAAATTTTATAAATTAAACTATATTGTACTTTAATTTATTTATGCAGTTAATATTAATGGTCATTTCATTTTTTATTTAATTATTTTACTTGCACAAGCTACATTTATACCGGAAAATCTGACCATACGTACACAAAAAAAAAGAATATGTATATATCTATATGTTTAAATTTAATTACACTCTTCTTTAGTTTACGATACAGTAAAATAAGATAAATTATGATACTTTAAAGAGCTCGCTAACTTTTCCACAATCTTTGTCTAGAAATAAATTAATTTAAAGAAATTCATTGAAAAATGCGTGATTGACATTTTCGTGATTAAAAATGACGATACTTTTCTGAAAAATTACACAAAAGCCAAACTTTTCAATTTTAATACATATACCGGATTTTATACGGTTTTGGTCTTTTAGTAATGGCAAGGCCATTTGAATTATTATAATATGTTTACAACTTGTAATGATGGGTGAATTTTTTCTTTTTCCTTGATTTTTTTTTTTTGTCTATTTTTTCTTTCATCAAAAAATTACCTTAAAAATAGAAAGCATTCTCTATGAGAAAGCAAAGTAATATAATTTAATGATTCCTAATGTAGGTTATTAAAAATTTCACTTTCTTATGAATAAATCTAATATTATTCTGAAAAGTATGCTTACGCCATCTTGCAAAAAAAGATTTACTTTCAATGAATATTTGATACACTAGAGACAAGTTCAAACACTTAATTTGCTTATTAATGTCATGTAAGCAAACAAACAAAACAAAAACAAAAACAAAAAAAAACAAGAAGACAAAAATAAATAAATATAATAAATGTGAAGCGTAGTAAGTAGGCATCGCATGAAATGTAAAGATTTATTAGTTTTGTAAACCAATTTGATACAATGCATTTATACACTTTAAGTCCTTACCACTTTCTATAATCGGCTGTCCTACAAATCGAATGCGATGCCCATACTTTTTGCCTCATAAAATTTTTAATAATATAACCGCAACCTACATATTAATAATTTCAAGCGGCTCGAGTCGCGCCGTGGTAGCAAATATGTTGTATTTGCACTGTTTGCCGACCGACACTTGGAGAAAAAACGATTTTCTACTTTTCTGCTCGTATCGCTCATCAAATACAAATGCAATTCCTGTCACTCTCTTCCTTTCCCGTACTGCCCCCCCCCCAACCCCTCACTCTTTACTCGCTTGTTTGCACATTCGCTCGTTAACTTATAAGCGCGCCCACGGCCACACACACTGCTGCTGCTCGCCTTTTGTACTTTCATCGGCAATTATTGCAGGCATTAAGTAGCTTCCGTCAAACAATCTGCTGTACGAATAGACATTAAGGCTGCAAAAAATATTGTGATTTTAAATAACGGCATTTTTATATGACGCCACGGCTGATCTTCTTACGGTTAAAGCGAAAACCTTGAGGAATTCTCTACTATCGATCGGGGCTTTCTAAATCTTAATAAAAAGACGCGCCTCATATCTATCGAACCGGAATATTTTATCAAATCATCTCTCTACAACACAGAAATTCGCCAAGCCAATTAACTAGTAATCTCGGGATCGACTAAGCGTGTGCTAACTAACGCGCGCACACCAATACACGCTTACGTCTATAACTTAGGCATAAGAAAGACACCTAAAGTCTCATATCAAGACGATAATTTCGTGCTTATACATGGCTGTTACTGTGATAATTAAACGAGGCTCAGCTATCTAGATAATTACGTACAAATTTGTATTAGAAAAGTTTATTTTAAATTAACTTAATCAAATCTAGCCACATAATTAAATTGTTAGAAATTCAATTAACGTAAAATTAGATAAGAATAGCAGTAACAGTAATATCGTAATGCTTAACCATATATATAATTTTTATTTAATTGTCCGTAATGATTTTCACATATTATATTATTATTATTATTATTATTATTATTATTATTATTATATACATCTGCACGAATTGTAAGGACATAAAATTTCACTATACTAGCATATTTTGTTTAGATTTTACTCTTTTGTATTACTTGTGTGATTTGAGAATTTTTGTGTTTTTGTTAGATAAATTTCACTTACTTCAATCATAATGGGATAAAGAAATTTTCACTTTCTGAAAATAAATCTTTAATATAAGATGTAAATGAATACAGAACAAAATACAAATTCGTTTAAAGTGCTCTGAAAATCTGTAATTTAACCTAACAATATGCAAAGTCAGATTATTTTCAAAGTTTTATTGATAATAATAAATGAATGAATAGAAGTTTTCTAGCGAAACAAAATGTACAAGTGATTTAAAAGAAAAGAGAGAGAGAGAGAGAGAGAGAGAGAGAGAGAAAGAAATAAAATAGAAAAAACTAAAACAAAAAAGAATTATTATTTTAGATATCAATGAAAGTTGAAAAAAAGATTTTACAAACAATATATATATATATATATATATATATATATATTCAATTGAAGTTTGAATTTTAGATTTTCTTCTCTCTCTCTCTCTCTCTCTCTCTCTCTCTAGCTCATTACTTTATTACAATAATGCATTTCACTTGAACATTTAATATTTCAAATAAGCACAAAAGTACAAATCTACATTACAAGACTAAATAAACTGATAAGCTCGAGCATTATTTTGCATGTAAAATTTTGTTCGATAATAATAATAATAATAATAATAATAATAATAATAATAATTTATATACCGTTCATATAATGTGGTTTAAATAAGCATTTTGATATATCTCGAGAATCTAAAATATCGATTTTATTATATACTACTGAATACTATATTTTGAGTAGCAACAACATATTATCATAACTGTATATGCTATATTGGCTTGTGCGTCCGAGACATAATCTAATATTCCTTCCTTGGAGATGCTCGAGTAATATCTTCTTTTATAAAAGGAAATTACGGTATCGATGAATATATTCGTGATCATTTTATATAAATGTTTGCAATAATAATTTATAAAAATAAGGGGCAATAAAATATTTTGCTTCGTGAAGGGAAAAGCGGCTTTTTAATATTTATTTTAAATTCCGACATGAAACTAAATGATAATAATAATAATAATAATAACAGCAACAACAACAATTTGGCGTTATTAAATATTAAAAGATTTTAGTTTCGGATTAAAGTATGGAGAGAAGAGTTGAAACCTTAGGTCTGAGGTTTGTTAATCTTTGTCGAACCAATTTATGTGGATACTATGTCCGTAGATTGAATATACGACTATACGAGTGTCAAAGTTCTTACAGGACAAGTTCTTCCAATGTCTATGTACACGCTGAGAAAAGAAAAGGAAGATGGATAGAGCCGATGGGATACGGAAAATTGACTTTGACCTTAACATAATCGAAAGCTATGATTTATTCTTTCTCCGGTCTGCGGATTCACGCACAAATACTACATTTGTAACTGGAGATGCGTAAACGATCACTTAACAATCAAAGATCTCTTAATAAAGTTTATATCCAACGTTACGCTTAACCATATCGGCACTTCGGATATTGAAAGTATTTAATAATTGAAAAATCGTAACAGTATTTTTACCTTTTAATTTGATTTACCTTCGAGCGCTTCTCACTCACTGTATCTTCAAAATTCATGACTCCATGCACGTGACATTTGTCGTAAATACATTAAAAAGTCACTATCACAGCGGGACAAGTAATTAACAGTAGATTAAATCGTCTTTTCCACAAAGTTCTCCCTCGACATTGTTCCATCCACGGGCGTTTGAAGAAAAGTAAGAATTTCCGCGGATAAAGAAGCCTCGTCAACGGGCATACATACGTACATTAAATACGCACATCTCAACGTAATAAAAGTGCATTGCACCTCGAAACTGTGAAGTACCGGTTTTAAATTCAAATAAATATTCATTACCGGTCTCTGATTTGAAATCTAAATGCCCCCTCCCCTCCCCCGCCGTTCCCTCACCCATGGAGTAGCGAGTTTGGATTTTTTGTTTTTCTTATGTCTTGTTATAAGCCCGATCGATTGAAAATTTATGTGGCAAAGGATATGCGGTCGAGGCACCGCACCTTACTTCCACAATTGCACCAATGATATTCGGAACTTAGAAAAGCCACTTTGCTTGGAGATTATTATTATTATTATTATTGTTGTTGTCGTTATTGTTATTATTGTTATTATTATTGTTGTTGTTATTGTTATTATTGTTATTATTATTGTTGTCGTTATTGTTATTATTGTTGTTGTTATTATTGTTATTATTATTATTGTTGTTGTTGTTGTTGTTGTTGTTGAATGCTTGAAGCGTCCAAGGTCCAATGCCGGCTCGTCGTACCATCAATTCGCGATAAAGCATTTCGTGGCGTAGCGTGACACCGCCACAGTCACCGGTGTCCGACCATCGACGCCCATCGCGTGAATATACGTGTCTCCCGGGTCTGGCTAACGGTACGCTACGCTACGGTACGGTATGACCGGATAAAGTCCCGACAGCGTGTCGCGATGGTCAATCTCGATGGTAAAGAAGGGTGCCGGCCGGGACGGGCGTCGGACCACCCTGGAGGAGCGTCCTCGTTTACTCGCGGCGCTAAGAGTAACGTGCTGGCAACTCACCTGGAGAGCGTCGAGGGCGCCGATGGGCGTATTGGGCTGGTGGGCGAGGACGAGGCCCCGCTCGCCGATCGCCTGGAGTGTGTAGCTCGAGGCCGTCAGCTTGTGCGCGGTGGCGATTTGCACGAGGAGGTCCATCATCGGCGTGCTGGGGACAGCAAGAGACGGCGAGTAAGTGATGGGAATGGGGGACGAGGCCAGACTCCCGCCGTGCATCATCGTGGACCGCGGAATCCCGGGAGTGGAGGGCAGGATTTTGCGCGGGAAAGCTAACGTCAGGTGGTTAGGCGCGCGCTACCGACTCGGCTCTGTCGACTTTTCTCGACGAGCTTCTGTTTCTTCCTCTATTCTATGTTCTCTACGTGCCACATGTCCTCGTTTATTAAATTTATTGAATTATCAACGACATGGACGATTGTCATTGGGCTTGGGGGAGGAAATTTAAGCAGCGCTCCGACGCTATTCGCAGGTAGGAGAAGTTGGGGATCTAGATAAAGTTGCTAGGTATTTACAAGTGGGAAGCTGCGATAACGAAATGGCTTTGGTATTGACGTGGCCAGTTGGGCATTGTTATTTGTGCCAAAGCTACGCATTCCCCAATGAGAGTGATATCGACTCATCGATTAAGGATTTCGATATTTTACGTTTTTCCTAATATATATTAAAAAAAAAAAAAAAAAAAAAAAAAAAAAAAAAAAAAAAAAAAAAAAAAAAAAAAAAAAAAAAAAAAATCGAAAAAATACATTAAAAGAGCGCATGATTATTAGAATGAGAAACTGGCCATTTATGCCAGTTTTTAATATTTTTGTTTTATACGCACCGTAGATTATCAATTTGCGTAAGTTAAAGTTTCGGCCGTAAAATTACATAGCGCAAAAATAATATTTAAAAGATAGAATAACAAGTTGAGAAACTTGAGACGTCAGATTTTCGAATTTCGACATCCGTACTTCATCAAGACTCATGGTAAATGCGAGTGTCATGTTAGTGTTTGGTATCGATATTTAATTCCAAATTAATTTATCGAAATTTTCATACTCTTTTGGCATCGGCTTCTCTCAGCGTACACCTTACCTTCCACTCGACTTTTTTTTCCATACATTTTTTTTCTCTCTTGCCTCTTATGGCAAAATATACGTATAAGAAAATACACGTTCGCACACGTTATAATGCTACGGCTATCCTACTTACATCGACTTATCTTCCGCAACGGCAACGCTGCCGATAAAATTCTAACGCGCATAAAATAAATGTAAAGAATGTGCCGTAAATTCATGGGGGGGATTGGGGGGGGGATGGGAGGGTGATGGGGTGATGGGAGGGAGGGAAACCTCATTTCACCGTACCGATAGATGAGAAAAAGAAGCCGAGAGATTTTAAAAGAATACCTCGTAATACTCAATATACATAATTATTAAAGTGAGTTTGCTACGGCCAATTTCAACGATTGTTTACGTAGACACGATTATATCCGCAGTCTCGCGAGTACAAGAAGTTTGGACGATTATGCGCGGAATCTCAATCGTTATGATGGACCTAAAGGAAAAAAAAAAAATGCTGAAATACATAGGGAATTGTTATTAATAATGTCCGTGGCAATGCAATGAAAATAGAAAACAAGTGATAAAAGAAAGAAGGACGAGGAACGGTAAATCGGTAAAGTCATAAAAGCCCGCATGGGAGGCCCACTTCTACCTCGTTTCTTTAATTCGCAAAAACGAGAGAAAGCAATAATAATGAGCTATCAAAATTTGAATATTATCTACGCTCGTATTTGTGAGGAGTGTGACGAACGTCGGGCTTTCGGGGCACGCGCGCACCGCCCGTCGGCAAAATACGATAAATACCCAATCACTCGTATTAAGAAGTATGAATCGAATGTATGTTGAGTCGAGGTCGTCGTTATGAATAATAATCAAATTACTTATAATCGTATTGTGATTTTTCATACAAGTTTCATGTTTAATTGATGTGGATTTATTTGTTTGTTTTTGTATTTCTGTAGTTGTATTTGTTTTTTTTTTTTGTCTGTTTTAATAATATCTTTTCACTATGGCGTATTGCGTAAAATTTTGTTACATCTTTTTTTTTTTTTTTTTTGTACCAACGTGAAATGCAGATAAAGCATTCGGGCAAATCCATCGAAATCGTCAAAAGACGTAATTAAAATTACGTAATTTGTTTAACTTTATTACAGGCGCAACTTAATTATGAATTACGCAAGAGTTTATGTATGAAGAGGACTTTGTTATTTTTTTTTTTTTTTTCTTAATGTTAAGTGCAAGGGGAAGAACACGTACTGGATGTTTAACGGAATAATTATTTTAAGATGAGAATCTTGAATATAGTTTGGTGACTGTAGGAATAATAATATTTGGAAATAACTTTCGTGTATACTCGGGCGATAATATATTTAAAGTACGCTTAAAGTATTTAAACTTTAAGAATCGTAATCAAAAGTATCGGCAAATATCCCGAGAGCCTCCATGTCCATTCCTTAATAAAAATCTATTAATCTTATCGTATCGTGTAGAAGCAAATATGATAAACACGAATGACTCATGGATAAAAGATAAGATTTGCGGCTAGAAAATCTCTCCGACACGTTGAGCATTGGTTTATGAAGTATGGATTGATTTTCAGAATTTTCAGCAATCACCGGCTGGCACGAGCGAACCTTCTCGTCGGGAGTTTAAAGTAAGCGAAAATGCGGCTTAGAGAAAGTTGTAAGTGGAAAGTTAATTAAATTTTTGGGGACAAACGAAATAATTTTATGTAACGAGATTTAACGGATGATGGAATGGCCAATCGATACATACAATTACAAATTGTAGGCGAGCGGTGAATTTATTTTTCATTTTCGTGCAAATTTTTCACATAAATTCTCCACCTTCGATACCCAAACAGAAATACGTTATAATTTATTGCTTATCTAGCAGTTTAATCAAGTTCTATCAATGCCCATTACGTCTATGTTTTCATAATGAATTCTCGGGCATAATTTGATATCAGAGAATGGAAAAGTATGTGTGGTGTTGTGTATATAAGCGTAACAGAGTTCATACAATTTTACGTACCAGTGCGATATGTAATTTATTATATAAATAGATTTCATTGGTGAGAACTTGACAACATTGTATGATAATGCAAAGTCACGAGGTAAAATAGAAGTTACTTGTAAGTTAACAAATTAAGAATGCAAATTATATTACTTTATATGATAATTTAAAATTGACGAGGCTAATGTTTATGGTGCGAAGAAACCATATTATTACTCGATATTCTTAGATTATAAACAAATAGTTTACCGATAGTATACATTACGTCCGCATTTTCCCATAATAATCTAGCACACGTATTATCGTTATTATTATTATTATTATTTATTAATAATATTTATTATTATAATTTAATGGCCGTATAAGCGCGAACGCTTGGAACTCTTGAAATTCGGCCAATTATCTACGAAATATTGTCAAAAGTATTTCCTATTGAAATTGCAGCGAGAAAAATTGACGTCACTCTCACACGGCAATGTAATTGTAATTCTTTAATAGCCACGAGTATCCAACTCAATGATGAAAAAATCCCGTTCGTGTTTCATAAAGTAGTTTATAGTCATAATAAATGTCGGATGCTTCACTTGGGCAGGTCCAATCGAGATTACCTAAATTCGATATCCAAGTCGTTTAACGCTCCATTTCAGTAAGCAACGATTAATCAATTAAATATATTTTTGTTATTGTCGCTTGTTGTTGTTGTCGATTATTTTTCGAATATTAATTTATAATATTCCAAGCCAGTAGGGAAGAATAATAAATGCATGCCGACTCGCAAATGAAACGGAGAGCGAGTGCGTAAGACGGGAGACGTATGATTAATCACTGATTGGAGACGTTTGGAGGTTGTTTAGGAGTTATAGTATATAATGTAAAATGAGATGATCGACGTGAGTGATCATTCGATGTATAACTCGATTTCTCTATTATTATTTAATAGATCGATAGAGCGGCGAAGGAAGTCCTTCGTCAAACTATACTGCGTGCGTCCCACTTCGACAGCTTATAGTCTAATATTATTGTCAAGTTATCAAGCGTTATGGGGAGAGGTATTGCCTTGGTAATTAACCAGCATCTACCAAATTCACGTACAATCATAAACGTTAATATCGTTGCGTATCTCCTTGCATTCTTATCATTTGACCGATTAGCCAGCCGGAGCTCGTAAAGCCGCGTGGATTCCCATTCGAGGCGTAGGAAACGGAAAAACGAGGTACAATTAGGCTGCGGTAAAAACAAGACGAATATATCGCATGGTGGCCGCGGGGGTCGGTGGGAAGGGTGATTGCGGAAGGTGGTGAGGAGAGGAGGAGAGGGCAGAGAGCGGCGGTAGAATAACACCGGTGGAAAAAAAGAGAATTGGAAAAGCTTGTCGAGCGAGGGCTTATTAGCCGTCTTACTGACCAACGCAAAGGAGAAAGAAAATCCCGTAGGGAAAAACGTGACAGTGTCGAGGAAGACATAGAGAGAGAGAGAGAGAGAGAGAGAGAGAGAGAGAGAGAGAGAGAGAGAACAGAATACCTACGAATCTACTCGCTTTTTCTTTAGCCTCCGGGATGTCGGTACAGAGAGAGAGAGAGAGAGAGAGAGAGAGAGAGAGATGAGTCCGCTCACGGATGATCGCAGATAGGGCGTTACAAGCTCTGGTCGAATTTCAGGAATGAAATGGCCTAAGGATGAGGGGGGAGGGGCATGTGGGCGGGAGGAGCCAGTCCTTGAGCGAATTTACTGGGTTGTGGAGAGTCGTCGGGGCAAGGGGTGCGGGTGTATTTATCGTTTTCGTATTGTTGAAATTATTCGCACCGATCTGATAAAGACGCAATGTAGCGCGCGGTATACGAGCTATGATAAAAAAAAAAAAAAAAGAAAGAAAGAAAAAAAAATACGTAGAAGATGGAGGAAAAAGGAAGGGGGATTCCTTCACTCTTCTGAAAAAAGCTTTTACTATTTCAAAGGCGATTAAAATGCCGGCGCGTGGATTCGCAAATTTTAATAATGCTGGAATGAGGAATAGGCGACAAGAGACCTTATCTCGCGATTTCCTTCGAGCGTTAAAAAAAAAATATTCTTTGAGGTATGTTGGCATTTTATCATTATCTTCGGTATTTGTTGATAGTCTGGCAGAATAATCGCCGTTGATAGGTGCGCGCCAAGATAATTGTGTAAGAAACGGCTTGGGCCGATGGAGACTCGGTAACGATCGCATATAAATGTTAAGTTGTTGTGGAAAAAAAACTTTTGCAAATGAAGGTGAACATTCTTAGTTGTGAGTTTCGTGTCGCGAGTAATTTTTTCTAAAAGGTTCGTAAGGTCTCGTTACGATTATACAGAGGATGCTCGTTTGATTTGCAAGTAGCTTTTGGAAAATACGAGAAGCCGAGCCATCGCGTTTATACCGTAGCATAATTATAAAATATCGATTAATCGATTCATCGTTGTTTTCTAGTTGACGGCGATGTGGACGAAAATTAGCCGAGTTGACTTAATCGATATATCGCCTTAAAATTAAGAATCTCGAATTTCCATATTTCAAAATATCCGACTTTTAGCCCGACATTTAGTATCGCTAAACGTTTTATATCCTTCGACGTTCGCGTGCCCCGGCGCGAGAATTATTTGTGCAATTTTCTTTTTTTTGCATTTGGCGAAATTGTAAAAGACGTTATCGATAACGAGTGCGCGTGCTGCGCATGCACTTTTACCTACGAGTGCACGAATCGAATTCACTATATAATAATCTTGTGAATTACGCGCAAGAAAAATGAGGAAGTTATGCTAAGACGAAGTCTGAAATCATAGAGCGAATTTTAACGGAGGCACATATAAAGTCGAATTGTATTTAGTTATAATTGTGCATTAAAATGTAAAATATTATCTTGCAATTTTGCAATTTTCATTCCAAGCAACAAAGCAACGCAACAACTCGCAAAATATTATAAAGGCCGAGGCAATTACATCGATCGCTCATTCACTTAGTCTAGCAATTCTTTTCCAGCGTTTCTCGTGAATGCGATATATATATATATATATATATATATATAGTAAGAGACAGAGAGAGAGAGAGAGAGAGATAGAGATAGAGATAGATATATATATATATATATATAGAGAGAGAGAGAGAGAGACAACGAAGATAATCATTTGGAAGGGAAGAAAATCAGTTGTAGAAGCTCGTATAAGAAAAGCGGATTCCTTTTCAATGAGCACAGCTCCGGTTCGTCCAAGCGATGCCTACGACTTTTTATCATCTGGCATACCAACTAATTTGAGGTACGACTTACCAAGTCGGCGCATGCGCCCGCAAAATATCCTTTCCAATGGATTAGACTATGGTCGGCCATTAGCTAAGCGACCCTCTTTAGGCGCTCCACACCGCTCCAAAAAGTTCTCGTTTAATTCGACGTTAGGCCACGGCCGGGTAAAAACAATATTTACCTGTTGATGGGCGATGTGGAGTGGATGAGTGGGTGGGTGGGGGGGGCGATATATATATATATATATATATATAGAAAGAGACAGAGAGAGAGAGAGAGAGAGATAGAGATAGAGATAGATATATATATATATATATATAGAGAGAGAGAGAGAGAGACAACGAAGATAATCATTTGGAAGGGAAGAAAATCAGTTGTAGAAGCTCGTATAAGAAAAGCGGATTCCTTTTCAATGAGCACAGCTCCGGTTCGTCCAAGCGATGCCTACGACTTTTTATCATCTGGCATACCAACTAATTTGAGGTACGACTTACCAAGTCGGCGCATGCGCCCGCAAAATATCCTTTCCAATGGATTAGACTATGGTCGGCCATTAGCTAAGCGACCCTCTTTAGGCGCTCCACACCGCTCCAAAAAGTTCTCGTTTAATTCGACGTTAGGCCACGGCCGGGTAAAAACAATATTTACCTGTTGATGGGCGATGTGGAGTGGATGAGTGGGTGGGGGGCGGGGGCGGGGGGGGGGTCTACCAACATTGATTGCCGACCACGGATAATGAATTGTTGCGCCAGTGGTCTAAGTGATTCGCGGCCAGGTCAGCGTCTCATTCAGCGGAGGAGAAAATTTGACGGGCGACTTCGTGTCGTCGTGGCTGAAAAACGCGGGGAAAATGTAAAAGGTGCGTGTAAAAAGCGAACATCGAACGATCGTCGATGGCTCTCCATGCCTGAGTAAATCGCCTCCCCCCCCCCCCCAACCCCCGCCATTCGACAGGAGGCGCAGGCTGAAGATAAGGAGGGCGATACCCCCGCCATTCGACAGGAGGTGCAGGATGAAGACAAGGAGGACGACGCGGCATAGAAAGCCTGTGGTTTAACAACGACGAATTTTTTTTAATGGACTCAAGTTTTCTTGCGGATGTGTGTGCGGGAGAGATTTCTTGAATGCCTCTGGAGACGAGATCGTCTAAGCTGAGTGAGTTTCACCGGGATGCGGCGCGAGGCGAAGAATCGACGTGACAATCGATGCCACTCAAAGAGATCGGACTCGATACTTTGGGCGTGCACTGAGACGTGAAATAGAGGGAGGCAGGGAGTGAGTGAGTGTGTGTGTGTGAGAGAGAGAGAGAGAGAGAGAGAGAGAATTAAAATATATTTGACGCAAGCTTTATTTGCAAAGTAATCGTGCATTCAACAACATTTTGTAATAAATACGCAATTAGTTCGAAGAACGTACTTTGTATAACGAACAAAATTTCTTTATCATATTTCAAATAAAGTACACGTGTGAAGTTAATTTAACAAATGTTTACATTTAATAAGTAATGTTTAATACAAGGCTTTGTTAAATGTAATACGTACATTGAAACGTAACTATTTGATTTGTATCATATAGTCAGTAATTAACTTTATAATAATTTGAGCCATTAAATGTGAAAGTGAAATTCAAATATCTTGATTTTGTTCACTTCAGTAATAATTATTTGGAAATGTATAATTAAGTGCATTGAGCACGTAATAGTAAAAAAAATTTTAACAATGTATTTTTGGTGAAAGTGCACGAGTCCGTCTAATAACGAAAGTCCAAAATTCAGTGGTTTAGCATCCTCGAGATATACTTTTCTCTCTCTCTCTCTCTCTCTCTCTCTCTCTCTCTCTCTCTTTCTGTGTCATTAAAAGCATCGAACCAATCACCGTAAATACCTCATATCGAATAAAGACGAAATACCTTTCCCGGGAACTTCGGTACGTCAATTTCCGCCGATGGCAAGAATATCGTACACGTCTTCGTTCATTATTCATATAATAATTGTTAGACGGAGATCGAAATCAATTCATTGGCATAATGCGTGAGGATCGGAAGCGAAGGGAGCGGTAAAACTTGCTCGTACGCGTAACATTCCGATACCTTAATTGCAACAAATAAAAAACCGTATTACCGTAATGATACCTTTTTTTTTCTCCCATACGTGCAATTATTTAGTAACGAGTCGCTCGGAGATTCGCAATATCAATGATCGCGCGCGTAATTACGGCATTGCGTGCCGTAGTCGCGTCTTCCATCTTTGCTCATTTTTTATCTCCAGCGAGTTCGCCAACTTTTCCTCTCAAGCTCGTAACAGAGAGCCGCGAAGCTTGCGCCGCCAGTGCATACGAAAGCAAACAATGGAACTCGATAATTCAAGGCCGAATGAATGCCCTATTGAACCAGCTTGAGGGACCAGCTCGTTGCTTGAAGCGCGACAAAGATAAGGAATTTTTTCTACCAAGTCTCGTTTAGTTTACAACAGACGAATCGCAGTCGGGATAATGGCATTTGACGTTATTCAAAAAATGCTCCGATGCGAGAGTTGCAATTTTTTTTTTTGTCTGTCAAATTTGTATTAATTGACTGAATCCTCGACTCGTCATCGCTATGATTGATAAGATTATATATTGATTTGAAGATGAGATATCTGATGCTTTAAGACTTTTATTGATTCTGTAATTTCATGATATAATGGCGTGAAGTGGAGGGAAATTGTTTATGTAATTCTTAGAGACACGAGGAATTATTTGTTTTTTATTTTGTTTCATTTCCATTACGTTTAATTGCATTCTTACGAGGGTAGAGAAGCGCCCTCGAAGATTACGTTAATCGCCCTACTAAAGCACATTTTTATGAGATGCGTAGAACTGGCAAGATTCTTATTTCGCCGTTAATTTATTCATTTCGCGCGTAATTGTATTATAATTGCAAAGCTAGCGAGCTCGAGTTATGTTAACGTTGAATTTTAAATGCAAACTATCGATTGCTATTACATTAATGAGATATAAGAAGTCGATGGATCGATTAGAATGCGTTAATGAGATGGATTTACCTCCGTTGGACAGTGACTCGCTGCGTCTGAACGTGATGATCACGAGGCATCTGCACGAGTAACTCCATACTTCCGGCCAACATATCCGCGGGAGTATCCTCCGTCACGGTCAGGACCATCGTCGTGGATCTTTCCTTTCTCGACCTGCAACATTGGATAATGCATTGGTCATTCGTTGGTCGTGTGCGGCGCTGAGAGGCGCTCGGGTCGATCGCGACTTTGCCAACTGCTTCACGGGCATCGTCATTTACCACTTTGTAATCATTTTAACATTCGATCCCATCATTACTCGCTTTTCTACTGCTCTCTCCGCCAATAGGATCGATAAAAAATATCAGATACTCGTTTTAAGTTGGGAATAGAAACACGCGATAGCAGTAGGTTGTTGGCGGACCTGCCAGTCTATCCGTTAAAATGGAATTCTTCATTATTTTTCACGACGAGCTTTACGGTATTTTTTTTTCTTTTCTCAATTTACGCAAAATACATTATTCCGCATCAAACTCACCTCCTCTCCCAACGATTTACTTGGAAATGGATTGAATTTTAAAAGCATTGAAATACATATTGCATAATTTTTCTCATTCTTTAATTTAATTTGCAGGGAAACCTTGGCGTAATCTTGTCCGGGTAAAGCGACCGCTGATTTACACATCAAGAAGGCAATGTGCGTACAATTGTTGTGAAAACGTTGTTCCTACCTTCTTCATATATAAAATAATACCACATACGTAAAGCAATTATTTACTTTTTTAATCGCTCTTTCGTTATGAAATCTGAGAATGCGCCTCTTATGAAATGAAATCTCTCGTTTTGCGATTAATAAGTTTGGTAAGTTGTCGGTACGGATTTGATTGTTTAGTGTCATGACTGAAGTATTCGTCCCTAAACGTGAAATAAATTAATTTAATTCATCGATCATAACAGGATGGGAGATTTATTCCTCAATGTAATGTTGAAAATCGACTTGATAAACTCGACCTAACAAGGACGTCTAAATTAGGAATGGACTATTCGTTATTTCGTTGCCGTCTCGAGATTATTGAATTTGTCAAGCTGTAGAATGAAAAAGAAGTTTCCATTTCATTTATAATAATTAATTATATAATAAATTATCTATTAAAATCGATTTGATAGTAGAAATTTGTAGAGACTTGGACATTTTCAATATTTCCTTCCTTCTATTCCGAATGATATATACGCGCGCGTGTCTGTGTTTGTGTACATGCTTATTCCGTAAATAGACTTACTGAGAACCACTGGCCGCAATTTCACGACATTTTCTTTCAATGGCGATGCTTACAATGAAATAACCATTACAAGCAACTAGCAAATTATCTCGTCTAAATCCATGGGGGAAAGGCCGAGAAGGACTGACAATCTAATTTTATCCCATAAATACACATGCCCAGGTATTACTCGCGCAACAAACATCTCCTATGGCTTTATTCCCGTCGGCTCCAATAAACCATCGTTATACTTTGCTTTATAACTCATACCAATACCGAGCATCTCCATCTCATTACACGTCGAATAGACACGTATCCCAGTGTGCGCCCACCACCCACGCTGCTTGGGGTTTCTTTAGCCCTCGCCGAGTTGGCCTGGCCACCAGTACTCGCTAAGCCCCTCTATTAATTGAAAGCAATTGAAAAATGAAAAAATTACGGCTCCCCGCGTTCTCTCTATAATACGACCGATGCTCACCACGAGCGGAGACAGGACGAGCATGTCCTAGACACTATCGCTGACTAATATTTGTCGGTGAGTCGCTGAGTCGAGTGGGAAGGGACGTGGGAGGAAATCGTGCATTGACCGCTAGAGTCGGAGCTCGCCCCGAAGCGGCGAATGGAACAATGCGGGCCTGTACAAGGAACGGGTCAGCCGGGGGCCGTATCTTCTTATCGCGGCGATCGGGCATTGTATAAGGCCCGTTCATCCTGGCGGAGATGACGTCGGACGCTCGAAAGGATGGGCCTGCCTCGGTAGCCGCGGTAGCCGCATAGCCAACGACCGCGAAACCAGTAGAGGGTGGGAGCGGCGAGTGGCAACATAGACGCAACTTCCTCGAAGTTATTCGACGTCCGATGCACGGAGGCAATAATAGTCCCTCCCTCCCTTCCCTCCCTTCTTCATGCTCTCTAGTCGCAATCTCGTTCCTCGAGCCCGATGATGATGGTCGAGCGAGATGCTGGAGGATGGCGAGGCGGGTGGTGATGGTAGGCTTTTATTGGTTCGATATAGCGTCACCGATAACGCAGACGGGCATTTCGGCGATAATTGGCTTTAATTGTGTCCGCTCGGTACCCCGGCGGCCGTCCGGCCCACAACGATCGCTGCTCGATCGTTGCAGGCAGCGAGTAAATGGGTTGATCGTATCGATGCGCTATTGGCTAAGAGTAAATGACCGTGCGAGCCAAGTTGCGAGGCTCGTAATCAATGCAGTAACGGCTGTGCTTACGAATTCGCGAGACTGGCAGTTCTTTTCCTCTTCCTTTGCAACTTTCGCGACAGCTTCAGTTTCCACGGGCTTTGCGTGCGCTCAATTCACGCGAGTCCGATGAATAATGCAAAGACACGTTGCTAGACGTTGATTCGATATGGGAAATAAATGGAATAAAAGTCGAGGGGAAGAGGCTCGATAGGTTAATAGCCGAGCTCAACAATGACAACTGACGAAAGCCAGAGCGGAGCATTTGCTCAAGGGGCACGAGGAAATTGTAATGAGGAAATGTGGGAGTGCGCGCGAGGAAAGAATCGTCGCCCGTCGCTCAAACGTAATCGTATCACACGATAATGCGATTTTGGAAGAAAATTATTTTCAACGTACGACGCGTACGAGTATCGAATTTTCATCGTCGCGTTAATTAGAGGCAATTTCGGCATGAATTATCCACTTGGTTGCTACTTTCTTTCGAATAGTTCCGTACCATTCCGTATCGATGAAACTAATGCTGCTGTCGGCTGAACAAATGGGCTAAGCAACAACCACATCGAGATGCGCTAAGATCGTAAGCTTTTGCGTTCACGCGTATTCATAGTTCAAGCTCCTTGTGGAAATTGAGCGAGTAATACGTTTGCCCTACGAAATTTTGGCCGTGCGAAAGGACTCGAGAAACCGGAGATCTTAAATAAACTATCGTACGCTTATATTCGCCAAAGTTATAGCTACGACTATGAAAAGCCAACCTATTAGCATTAGTCAGCCGAGCTTGTACGAATCTGCCAACGAACAGCTTGCGATAAGGTAAGCTGAATCCTGAGCGAAGATTCTCAACTTCGAGGATAATTAGCAAACGGCCTCGGTATCCCAAATTCGTGGTCACGTAGATGACACGACGGTGACGGCGACGGCGACGGCGACGGCGACGGCGACAGACAGAGATTCCGTTTATTTCGAGATTGGTGGCACTTTGTTTCCCCAGTCGTGTGAGAGGCTCGTGTCCGATGTCCTCGACATCTCTTTTCGCTGCTCGGTGAGCACGAAGGTGGCTCCGTTACATATAAACTCATCCTCGTCAAGGATCTCTAATCCATCCGTGCGCGCAAATCGTGTGCGCGGAGCGGGGCGCCAATTAGGTTTAATATAGTCGAAGAGCTTCCGAATCGTTAATATCTTTGTTTGTCTGTTGGTTTGTTGATTTGTTTGTCGATGGAGTTGTTCAGGCATTTATTATTGGAATGAGTTGACACATCTGCGATCTTTTCCAGACTTTGACACACCAATTGCTCATTACGGCACGGCAACGAGGACTCGTGATAGATCATTTTAATCGAGCATTCGTTAAATTCGTTCGCTATTGTTTGTTTATTCACTTTGCGTATGCGATTGAACTCGGATGATGATTCGTGCGATTCTTGGATGATGATACACGTCGGTGAGGATTTTCAAAGCTATTTGCCACCTTAGTGGATTAATAAAATTCCAATGGCCTTTGTTATTGATGAAATTTACTTATTTACTTAGTTTAATTGTAAAAATATAATTATTCGTCAATGAGCTACTTGCGATCCCGACACTTTATATAATTTCCAAAAACATAACGCTCTTTGTTCGAGAATTCGACGATTTTAATCGAATTTAATCACCTAAGCAACTGGAATTGGCCTTCGCGATTTTTAGATGAATTTAACGTTTAATTTGCGATATACGATTAGGTACGCATTAGGCTTGTTTAAAGAAAACGTTATTATATAAGCTCGTCCGTGATAACAAGTTGAAAAAATCATAAAAATTGCGATTACAAGGTAATATTAAATACAAATTTCGTGTCAATGTTGGAAATCGGTAAAAGCACGCATACGTTACTTGCTAACGCAATCTCACTTAAGAATTTATATTGAGATTTAGAATTAATGCACACCGATCGATCATCGATAGTCTTATGCGATATTCATGAAGTAAGTAGGACCGGAGACTCGATAAGGTCGAATGGACATTAATTCGATCAGTCAATGTATTCCTCGAATCCCAAGGGATTTTACGAGCTTACGATGCTATCGGCGCTAATAAAGGAAGAATCATTGGCCTCTATTTGTCCCCCCCCCCCTCAAATAATCAAGAAAAGTATTATAGAGATGGATCTCCTCGAAGCGCCATTCGGAAAGAGTCCAACAGCTTCTCGGGGCGAAAAGTAACGAAAATTAAATTGAAAAGTCCTTCGCGTCCTTGTTTACACGGTAAAAGTCGAAGCTCAGCCGCTACGAAACGCGTAAAGCTGTCAGCGACGGCGAAAAATCAAGGAGAAGGAGGAGGAGGAGGAGGAGAAGACGTTTATTCAGCAAGTCGGAACGGCCTCTTCTCTCCCGACTTCGTTGCGTGCATGAGAAATGAAACCGTGTAGCTATGGGTTATTGCGCAACGGACGAAAAGGTGCTGCACGCTCTTACATAAAGTGCGCGCGAGGTATTTTCAAGCGATGCGGCTACGTGCTGGCGCATACACGCACGCACGGGAACGCACCCACACAACGAGTGGGGTAATACAGTGGGAGAGAGAGAGAGAGAGAGAGAGAGAGAGAGAGAAAGCACGCGCGTTTGTTCTTTCCGCTAATGAAGGACCAGGTCAGTTTTCCTTTTAGACGTCTTATTTTTTACGCTTCTTCTTTTTGCGTAAGTACTCGACACACACACAGCACACGCGC